TTCGTGACATTTCTACGTTCATTTTGGACCGATCACGAGTGGCCTGTGCCTTGCACAACAAATCAATTTGCTGCAAAATCACTGATCGGCCAGATAATGCCTCGGCCCCGTTCACGCGTGACCGGCGGACGGTCAGGGCAGCATGCCGCGCACATAGGCGGAGGCTGTGCGGCCAAGTCTCCGACATCTTCGGTCTGCCTCTTTTCCTGGTCGGCTCTGAAGCCAACGGATGAGGAAAGTCGCCGCAGATATAACTTCCTCACGACCCGAGAGCGTCACGATTTAGAAAAGTCCGCGGCCGACTCGGAACATTCCGAGACAGAATTCGAACAGGTGATATCCCCTTACCTGCGGCCGGTGTTGACCGAACGCTGTGGGCAGGCGTGGACAGGTGTGGACAGGCTTGGACGGATGAGATTAGGTGTGGACAGACGTAGACAAGTGAGATTAGGTGTGGAGAAGTGGGATTAGGTGTGGAGAAGTGGGATTAGGTGTGGAGAAGTGCAGGATTAGGTGTGGAGAAGTGGGATTAGGTGTGGAGAAATGGGATTAGGTGCGGAGAAGTGGGATTAGGTGTGGACAGGCGTGAATGGATGAGATTAGGGGTAGACACTAGACAGAGGGGAGGATTAATGTGGACAGTCCTGTAAAATAGGCGTGAACAGCTGTGGGCAGAAGGGATAAGTTTGGACAGGCGCGTCCAAGTGAGATTAGGTGTGGACAATCAGACAAATACACAAGCATGGACAGATACCTACTTAAAAAGCCGACAAATTGGCGGCGATTTTATAAACTCCGGATGACAAATGCGCGAGAATATGCCTAAGTGGCCGTCATGATCTTGTAGTGACTAATAATGTTAAGACTAAATAATTAGGTATGTCGAAGTCGGCGGCTGTGTTTCGTCCAAATAGTTATACCATGTGAAGTGTCTGTTTTCAGTACCTAAAAGTTACTTCAAATGTCAATATAAAATGAATTTCAGCGGTAAAAATGTGAAAACACCGGAATGATGCATCTGAGGTAAGTTGATTGAGTTTGTAGTTTGTAATTTGTAGACATGACTAATTAAAGACGATTGATGCTCTTCAAGGGTAATTATTTTCAAGCTGCTGGTATTTAATGAATAACGGAGTGCAGTAATCCACTTCAATTTAGGTTGAAGAAACTTGCTAATTATTTGCACATTTCGACACGAATTTGCACGCTTCACAAGTGAAGTGTGAACAGGCTGGCTGGCACCGCCTGCCTCCCCAGTCGTCTGACTGTTAACACTTTATGAGGGCTGACAACGCCCGCCGCTCAGTCGTCTAACGACCTGCGAGGACTGACAGGCTGCTGACAGACGGTGAGAGACTGCTGACAGACGGTGACAGACTGCTGACAGACGGTGATCGAGTGCTGACAGACAACGGACAGACTGTCTGACAGACAACGGACAGAGACTGACTGACCACGGACAGAGACTGTCTGACAGACAACGAACAGCGATTGACTGACAGGCCACCGACAGAGACTGTCTGAAGTCCATGGACAGAGACTGTCTGACAGGTTAGCAAGGACTGTCTGACAGACAACAACTGACTGACAGACAGCGGACAGAGACTGACTGAGAGACAATGATCAGAGACTGACAGACAACGCACAGAGACTGACAGACAGCGGAAAGAGACTGACAGATAACGAACAGAGACTGTCTGACAGACAACGAACAGCGATTGACTGACATATCACATAAAGACTGTCTTTGAATCTGATCATGTCACGCTTACATCGACAAGCCATTGCCATGGGCTTTGCTAATCTGTGCGGGTACGCAGATAAAGCAGCCCTGATATCGTGCTGCTTTTCCATGCGCTCTAGTTTGGTATGTCGTGCATGTCGACAATTTCAGCGACTCATCTCCACATATGCAATAGTTGTTGGAAGAAAGGCCACGTTGCATAAGAGATAAACACGCATGAAGAGCGCCCATCACGACGCGTGCAGTTTGCTCATCGGACGTGCGGGTCTCGCATGACGGACGTGCGGGTCTCGCATGACGGACGTGCAGCCCTCGCATGACGGCTGCTGGTGCCACTGGCAGCTCGACGCTAAAAATACGTTGAGGTGGTGCTAGTGGTGTGGTTACAGCGCTCCGGTGGGGTCCCATCAGTGAAAGTTTACCAAATCAGCGGGTGTGCTGCTGGCTTTCCACGGACGGTACGTCGCGCAGGCGGTGATCACGCGCCACCAGAGTCTTGGTTCTCCCCTACGTGACGAGGAAATTTGTCAAAACTTAGACAACGCACGTATCTCAGCAACGATTCCGGATGCCACTAATAGACGTCTGATGCAACAAAAAATTAAAGCGCCCTGTATCACGCATGGCTTGGTTACAAGTAACATCGACGTCTGATAATGCTGCAAATGCTGTTCGAAAATTGGAACGGTGTAATAAGTTATGACCGACCACAAAGTTATAAACGTGATGCATGTAGATAAGCTTTATGACAAGAGCTCAAGCTCAGGATCAGAGAAAAGCTAATGTGACGTTATAAACTGCAAAATTTGAGCCAGTGACTAAAGGTACAACTTCAGATGCATGTAATTACACATTTTCAAAAAGACGATGCTTTTTGTTGTGACAAATTACTAGACGTAAGTCATGTCTGATAATAGCATACATATATCGCCCAAAATAAAAAACACACACTTCCGCTGCCGGAGACTGAGCTGATGTTGGCACCTCAGTTTTCTGGGCGTGCGTCTTGAATATTCATATTTTCTGTCCAGCTTTATGGCACAGAAGTGATATTACCCTGCTAACGACGACATGGTCGATAGAGCTAGGCACCAATGTGGCCATGACATGCACATCCGCAGGAGAAACGTGATCATCTGTGTGCATTACGCGAGCTGTCATTTGCGGTTTGTCAATGCCTAGTCGCGATGCTATTTGTGGCACCGCACTGTTCCATGACACGTGAGCCACCACTGATCACAGAGTAGAGCTGTGACTGCTGAGGGTTACAGCAGACAGCAGCTACCCAGTGCCCATGTCCCATGCCATACTCTAGATGTGGAAATAATCTCGAGACTTTCACGCAGGTAGAGCAGCTCAACTGTAGATTACCGAGTGTGGTACTCGAAATGACGTCATGTTCTGCCATTTTCGACCTTTCCCCCAAAAAAGGTTTCACGAGAATAGCTGTCAGACCTACATACAGCTTTGAAGATACAGAAAAATGTTAAAAACATAAAAATGTAGAATTAACAGGGCTATAAAGCATAAAACTGCTATCCGGATTTCTGAAATGCTTGGATTTTGACCCCCAAAAATCGAAAAGCGATTTTTTGGATATGATAGCCAAAAAATCCCAAATGTTTTCCGAATTTCGAGAAAACCGAAATATATGTGATAGTACCTACCGTGTTCTATCCACATACCAAATTTCAGATCGATAACTCATTTTTTGGCTAAGTTATAGCGAAAAAATACCTTACTCATTACTGTTCAAAAATGATGACGTCAAATTTTTAAACTCAATTTTTGGATTTTCAATAGCTTACAAATTTACTCGATTTCACAATACATTTCTTGAAATGCCGGTAAACGGTGAAAACGCGACCTTTGATCTGAACTGTGACGTCATCGGTTGGGCTGAGCTCAATGAAATTTGGTCACAAGGTAATGCTGTGGTGAGGCTATCGAATGCCGTTTGAATTTTGAAACTCGACAGGTAAATGTTTGAGATCTTAGGGGGCCCGAAACGGCTGTATGTAAGTATGTACTTACGTGTGGACCGTGTGGCAGGGTCCGCGGATAGCCCTACGGGGCGCGGTTTAAAAGGCGGTATGAGTAGGTATGTATTCGTGATGAGCATTGAGCGACGATAGGTAATTGTCTTCGAATCAGGTACTGTTCAGCCGAGAAAAAAGCACTTTGAAGGGGCTTTAAATTTGCCTTTTTTTTGTCATTTACATTCGACCCAATCAAAACTGTTGCAAAATTGTTGGGTTTTGATTTACGCTCCAACCGTCTTAAATAACGTGTTGGTGAATTTCAAGTTTTTTTTTGTTAGGCTCACCCTTTGCCCTTGCCTGCATAAGGCCAGCTGAGCCGATTACATCACAGCCCGTGGCCGCAGTGTGCCAGTGTGTCGCCCCGCGCGGGACGCACCGCCCGTCCTCCAGCCGGCAGCCGTGGTCGGCCAGCCGGCACCGAACACGAGCCGCCGCGCCGCTCCGCCGGCCGGGCGGGGCACGTTTCGCTAAAACAGCTCACGTGAATTTTCCGCCGTGCTTTCGGTTTCATCGTCGTGTCAGTGGGACCAAGGCGACGAGGGGAGGCCCCGACGGCACGGCACGGCGGCACGGCACGGGAAGGCGGCGGCACGGTGGCTGCCCGTCACGGGCCGGGGTGGGCAGCGCTGGCTGCCTGGACGTTGGGCGCAGAGGTGGCGACACCTACAATGGCGTTAGTTCTTCTCTTCGCCGCCTGGGGGCTAGATTCCGTACCAGACGTGCTGTGGGTGCTATAATTATTAATATTCATTAAAATAGCACGATTGTTGTGGAGTTAGAATTAAATGAGTTGGTAGCTGTAGTAAATTAGAGTTGGAGGTGGCAAATCAGACACCAGTTTCTAGACCCAGCGGTACCATTATGTGAGCATGAGGGTACCTTCCTACCTAACTAAAATTAACATCTTCTTGAAGTTGGTTCCGAGCGTAGGAGAGTTCCAAAAATCGTGCAGGTCGCACGGGCACCCCTCCAAATGCTCATTGTCCTGTTTTTTATTTGTGCAATATAGGTAGTTTGCTAGCCAGGCGACGGTATTTTTTACGACGAGGGCATCTTGAGTCAGATTAATTTGTCGTTAACTTAAATGCACTTTCATACTTGTGGATGCGTGTTTAGAAACGCCAATTGTTGAATTACGTTTCTGGCTCTTCCTCTCATTTTCTCACTTCAGTCTATACCTGATTAACTCACCGTGCACCAAATCGATCAACGACTTTTGTCCAAAATCGTCAATTTTTATTGTAACAGTTTATTGCTGATATAATATTAAAATCTCACCGCATTAAGACGCATTCAATCAAATGTACATTACATTCACGGGAAAACGGATATGTTCAATACGCGTGACCACGGCGCAGGTGGTCGCCTCTGGGTCGCAGCAGAACAGAAATACGCTGATGGACTCGATCGATACACTCGGCGCTACAAAACAAAAATAATCTACCGTATAATACTGGTCGGCCGATGACTTGACTGGGGTCGCTCACGGAACACGGGCACGGATATAGGTGGGGCGCGGCTAGTGCACAACTTCAGGGGTGACTCAGATCATTGGAGCAATGCGAGGGTGGTGCGAAAATAAATATGCAAACGCCGATGTGCTGATGTGGTGCAGTGAAATGCTTGTGTGCCAGCACAGTCTAAGCATAAAACTAACGGCGACCGGCGCCCAGAGAGCTCCCAGTCATGGTTACTTAGATTCGTAAGCGAACATGTGTGATCCTCTCCAGATCTGTGTGCTCTGGACACGGTAACGGATACGGGGGCGAGGCGCAGACATGCCTTTTGTAAGCTCGCTAAATGTGAAAGCCAGCAGCGCGTGCCATGGTACTCACGCGAGGCTTCAGTAACACACTTCTTAGGAACTGAATAGCAACATAAATCATCAAACGGAGCTCGGATCCACCATATCACATCACAAACGATCGCAGAACGCACGCTGTACACACGTCGAGCACGCTACAGGCGCAACTGTACAGACACTGAACACCCCACACATTCGAGGTGACATCACGCGCGCACAAAACAATGCCGTAGACTAGAACGCGACTATGTCGTGCTCTCGACTGTCGATAGTTGTCCGGGGTGGCGCGGCTCGCCCGGCTGTGTACTGGCCTCTGAACGCCCCTCCGGGCACCTCTCTAGCTGCTCGGCGAGGTCACACAGTCACGTGACCGGTCGAACGGGTCGATGGCGGTGAGACGGGTCGCCCCGGGCGACTCCAGGGCGGATAGCCGAGAGCTGGTCGGTACCATGGTCGGACTCGGCGAGACAGAGCGCGCCCGCTTGCCAGGGGGCGCTTCATCGTCGTCGCTCGAGTTGTAGGTGGCGCTGCCGTCGGTCACCTTGTCGACAAAGTTGCGGATCTCGTCCGTGTAGCCGGACTCGTTATGGGTCGAGTCGGGGCTGTCTGAGCCCAGGTTGGCGACCCCCTGCTCGTGTTTCCTCAGGTGCCGGTCCAGGTTGGTCTGCTGGCCGAAACAGCGGTCACACAGCGGACACCGGAACGGCTTCTCCTTGTTGTGAATGTTACGCACATGACGCTGCAGGTTTGACGAGATGCTGAACGAGCGCTCGCAGTATTTGCACTTGTACGGCTGCTCGCCGGTGTGCGTGCGCAGGTGGCGCGTCAGGTTGGCCGAGCGGGGGAAGATTTTGCCGCAGAACTTGCACGAGTAGCGATCCTTGGCTCGCTGAGTGTGCACGTTTAGTACGTCTTGGTAGGGTCGAGTCAGGCCCGGCATCTGTGCCCTCATCAGGTCGAACGACCTCTGCGCCAGGACCGGGTTCAGGTAGGGGTTGTACGGGTAGCGCATCGAGTAGGGGCTCAGTGAGGAGCCGGGCAGGCCGGCGCCGTACGGCGTCAGGCAGCCCGTCTTCTCCAGGCCGCCGTACATGCTCTCCATGAAGGGATGGATCGGCCGCGGGTAGGCCATCAAAGGAAACTTGCCCGACAGACCTGGGAAACCGGCCGGCGAGCCAAACGGAGTGGGCAGCTCGGGCGCCGGCTCGGCCGCCGCCGGCTCCTCCGGCTTTGGAGCGACGGCCTCAGCCGGCGGCGCCGCGCCGAAGCCAGGGAACAGCTCGTCGGGCTTTTTGCTGAGGTCCAGCGGCTGGTCACCCGACTTTTTTGTCTCCGTGGCCCGGCGGGGAGACGGACTGCGTGACGTCTTCTCCGAGTCCTTGAGGTGCGCTAGGATTGAGACAAATCCTTTGGACTCCTTCTTGGCCGGGGTCGGCACCTTCCGCGGCCAGCTCTCCGGGCTAGCGGACCGATCAGCCCGCTCCTTGGACCGCTCCTGAGACCGTGACCTGCTCCTCTCCTGTTCCGCCGCCGGAGCGGGGGTAGCGGGGGCGGCAGCAGCGCCCGGGGCAGTGCCCTCCGTCTCTTTGTCGGTGGTCTGCTGAGTGGGAGCCGGTGTCCCCGTCTGCTGTCCGGCCTCAAACGCTGTCGTCGGCTCCACCTTAGGCAGTGACATCAGGAACGGGTGTCGTAGGAACGGGTGCGCCGCTAGGCCGGCCGGTGTCGGCGGCACCAGAGACCCATACTCGGCGAGCAGCGGTGGCGTGCAGAACGGCAGCCCCAGCCGCGGATAGAGCGACATCAGCGGGCTAGCGTTCGGCGGCAGCGTCATCCCTGGCGGCGCGCCGGCGGACGGCTTCTCCACAGCGGCTGACCCGAAACGGGGCGCGGCGGCCGAGTCGCAGAACCGCTTGTGTTTGGTCAGAGATGTCTCGTGACTAAACACCTGAGAGCAGCGACCGCACTTGATCTGCTTGCGACAGTCGACGTGGTTACGCTTGTGTCGGCACAGGTTGGAGAACTGGGTGTACGCCTTCTGGCAGACCTCACACCGGAATGGTTTGACGCTAGAGTGGATGTGCGTGTGCTGCTTCAGACCGGAGCTGGTCGCGAACGTTTTGCCACACTCGGGACAGGCGTGAGCTCGAGCTCCCACGTGCTGAGCTCGGATGTGCTTCTGCAGCGCACTGGGGTCGCGGAACACCCGCGTGCAGTTCTCGCACGGGTACTTGCGGTACTCGCCGTGCTGTTCGGCCTTGTGTTTGATGAGGTTGGCGTTGAGCGCGAACGCCTGAGAGCAATAGTCGCACTTGAACGCGCCGGCGGGGTAGTGGTGAACCGAGGCGGCGTGCTCGTCCAACCTGCCGGCAGAGACAGAGACACAGCGGTTACACCACGAAGTTAATGAATCAAAAATGCTACAGGTCAGAAAGACACCAGGGCTACCCGGCTACATCCATGGAACAGACCGGTCGCCGGCCCTGGCAGTGCATTCGTCAATACTAGTTGCGTAATCGGGCGACTTGTAAGTCTTCCCGTCCACATCTACGTGCGTTACACAAATGAAACGGATACCTTATTAATGTTTGGTTTTCAGTTACTAAATGTATACCTCGGAAAATGACTACTTATATTGGATTCAGGAATCAGTGGCTGACTGGTGTTTCTCTGAAGCATATTTATTCCACGCCGCTACCTTAGGCCGATCGTCGTAAACATCATTCACCGACACATTGTTTGTGTCATGTGCCACTCTCCGCAGCGCGTGACTGACACCGTTTGTTGACAGGTGACCTCGGTACCGCCTTCTCTCCACGGTGATTGGGTCAGAGACGGACAGGAGTCACCCTCTATTTGTCCGTCGAACAGTTAGCCAACCGCGTTGCTGGCTATCGAAGCCATCATTGGGCATCAGATATATTTGTTTGTCACCAGTACTAAGTCGTTGTCTGTGGCCATCACTCGATTAATGGCAGTGGTCTCCGTCCAGTGGTCAGTGGCCACAAGGTCGCTGTCTATGCATCAATAGGTCATTGTACTTGTAAGAGATCACGATTAGACCACTGTCCGTGGTCGGTAGCCACGGGTCGCTGTATGCTTAGCCGACCCTATCTAACCCACCAGCCCCAGCGCAGGAAGCGACTCGTGTCCTGCCCGCTGGCCGCTGCCGGCGCGGCGGTGCGTGCCACTCTGCTATGACTACTCTGCGGTCAGCCCAGCTGCCAGTCCGGCCCGTGACCGCGGCTGAGCTGCGGTAACGACTCGGCACGTGTGATTTAGATATTGAGCCTGGTCAAACCAACGTTTTAGACCGCCCGTTCATTGAACAGCTATGATGACGCGGAATTACCATACGGTCGGTCATGGCGTGTAATTGTCTAAACTGGGTCAAACGACAGGGCGGCACTTCATTCATTTGACTCGTTGCTCGTACATTGTCATGGTAACGACATGCGAATTTATTGCATGGATTATTGCTATTGCAAAGGGATAATTAATATTTTTAGCCATCTTTTAACGCTGCATTATTTTGATACCGAACCCAGACATTCGAAATAACTCTTGAACACCAGAACAAATTGTGGGATAAAATTAACACCTATTGTTATTGGCATTTTTGTGCCCAGAATTGCGTTAGCTTCAGCCTACAGTCTTCAAAACTTGCCATGCATCTAATCTTGAGTTGGTCTATGAGTGTTTACTGTGTTTGTTATATAGTGTATGGGAGCTGCATAGGCCCCATTTTCGTCTGACCGGTCGGCACAGGGTGGTGCGCCAATATCGTCACCGTGCGCAGGAAGCGCGGCGCGATCGCCACGGCCCCGCCCGGTGGCGCAGCTGCGACCAGTCCGGCGCGGATGCCACCATTCATATATCGTCCGGGCGGGCGGCGGCCACGGCAGAGGTGACGTAATTACCGGTCATCGACGCCCCCACCGCCAGCACCTGTTCGGCCCCGCCCGGCGCACCAGCCCGCGCCCTACCAGCCCCCCAGCGATGACACCCTTTGATGGTATTTCATTCATCGACAGCCGGGGACAGGCTCGGACTCAGTGCGCATGCGCGCCGGCCACTGACTGACCCCCACACCGGAGGGGGTCCCTAAATGACCCCCACACCGGCCGCCAGTGGCGTGACTAAGGCCGGTTGAGGTCAGAGCCGACAAATTGGGCGGAAACACGTCTGACGTGCCGGGATGCGCCAGGTGCTCCTCTCCAATGAATGGCAAAAGTGGAATGCCTAGCGTGAGCAGCGTGGGTTTTGTGGAATGTTTCCGTGAAATTGGCTCACGAAAACGTGTTCGGTAACCAACAGGTTTCATTCAACAGTGCATGAGTTAACTATGATATTGAACAGGAGACGCTCTATAGGAAAGGGTAAAATATTTTAATTAATTGGTTAGTTACTAGTTACTAGAAAATAAACAGATATTGTTCTTCTTATATGAGTATACGTATCTCATAGCAATATAAATGGCAGGTTTTATCATGATTGGATAAAACGAAACATTACGTGCACATGAAAAATCGGTCGCTGCCAGATTTTAATTCACCTGGCGTATTCACTGTCTGGCTTGCTCGATTATCGAAACTGCGATTCACTGCCAACACATTTTGACCAGGTGTTTTGGTTCACTCTCCCGTCAGTACGAAAATGGCCGCCATTTATCTGCGCTTTGGTCGCGGTCACCCTGAAACCAGCAGTCACTGGGCAGCTGGGCACCAAGTATATTGTGCTTGTCAACTGAGAGGTAAGCATGTTGGCGCTTCCGTTGTCCGGGAAGCTTGTCTCTGGATCAGCTCTCAACTAACAGGACACTGTGCTTGCGGCTGACCGCCAGGACAGTCTACCTGTCGGCTGTCACCAATGGACATTGGACAGCTCGCACCTCGCTCCATGAACACTGGATAGGACAGCTGCCGCCTGACAGCATGAATGTTATTAAATCAGTGCCGGACTGTCCGGTCTGTTTGTCCACCTGTTCGTCTGCTCTGTCTGCTCCGTCTGTCCGTCTGTTCGTATATCAGTCTTTCCATCTATCCGTCTGTTCCGTCTGTCCTGTCTGTCCGTGTATCCGCCTGCTTGTACGTCCGTCTGACCATTTATCTGTCCGTCCATCTGTATACCCGTGTCTGTCCGTCTGTACGTCTGTCCGTCTGTCCGTCTGTCTGTCCGTCCATCTGTATATCCGTGTCTGTCCGTTTGTACGTCTGTCCGTCTGTCCGTCCGTCCGTCCGTCCGTCTGTCCGTCTGTCCGTCTGTCCGTCTGTCCGTCTGTTCGTCCACCCGCTCGTCGGTCAGTTGATCGCTCACTCATTCAACCATAGACCACCTGGTCACCACAGTCCGTGCCGCTGGCTCGCGCAGCGTATGATTTATGCACGATCGGCTCTCCACATCCGCCGGCGGTGGGGACAATTTTCAGCAAGCACGCGCCAACACTAAATGACATGACCAACAATTATCAGCGCCCTATTATATGCTCGCTGGCGCGGAGGCCTTGGCATAAAAATCTGTCTCGAATGTGTGACAGCCCGTCAGTTCAAACGTCCCGATCATGTGTGTGACGCGCGTATGGTAGCGTTGTCTGGCACCCCCGTCAGTTCCCTTTGAGCCGACACAATCTGTGCAGCCCATGAACGCGTCGGAGTGGTCTGCGGCCGTCGGTGCCAACTATCACACCTGTAATTACCACGAGGGGGACGCCGGGGGGACGTAAGGGAGGGGAGGGGACCGGAACTGCACGACGCCGGTCCAGTCATCGGCCAGAACAGTTAGACCAGATAGCATCGACCAGTTCGGTCCGGGGAGTATGGTCAGGACATGACTGCACTGGACAATAAATGTGGACTGTTGGACGTCTGCCATCCGTGATAGCTGATCTGACAAACCTCGAACGTTTCCACAGGTGATGCTTTTGCGAGAGGAAATATAGTTAGTAAAGCTGGACATGTTGGTAGAAAGAAAAGGATGGCGATGAATAAGTGTTGTGCCTCCGGATGTGTGTTGTGTTTTGTGTGTGCTTGATGTGTTTTTGTGTTCAGGTACTCACTCGAAGATGGTGAGGAAGGTCTTGCCGCAGGTGATGCACTTTTCCTTCTCCTCCTCCTCGTCGATGAGCTCCTCCTCCCGTCGCTGCTGCTCTGCCCTCTTCTCGTCGGCGCTCTCTGGCCTGTCGCCCTCTGCAACAGAGGAGGTTAGGGACTGTTCAGCGGACAGCGACTGAGTACCTCGGCCGCACACCGCGCCCGTCGTGGGATGTGAGGACCGGACTGAAGTGCTATCAGATGGTCAGTATCATTGGTCTTCTTTGTCGTGTGATATGTTTCGGTGGTACAGTTATTATGTAGTGTACCTAGTTATTATGCTCGGTGTCTCAAAGAAGTGTCAGTAATTGTGTCGTATGTGTACAAAATGTGCAGGAATGAAAAATATGTGTCCGACTTTGAACTTTCCGTCTACTATAACCGCAGGTTGTTTGAAAAGACAAACACTATTCGTTAAAATTGTGTTTTTCTATTGAAAAACAACCGGAGCAGTCCTAGCGTGATGCATAAGTTTTTCCTTTATGCTGTGAAGCCATGTAAACGTTAAATGGCGGAAAACATGTCACCTCTGGGATTCGATCCTCAAACCGTTATCTCACAGTATCAAAATGCAAGCGTCTTCTTCAAAAGATAATAAATCAACTCGACACCATACAGAAGAGCGCCGTGCCGAAAACGATCGTACCCTGGCGGACAAAGCTTTGCAACGCAAAAGCCCGCCTGCACCGCCAGAGACAAGTCCTAAGTTATGTATGGTCACTTTTCGGATTATTCTCTGGGATAATAATATCTAACTCACAAGTCCATATATTTCGGATGATATTGCTCACCCTTGGTCACTGGACAAAATAAAAACAATTACATGTATGAAAAACCACACACCAAAATTATTCCCTAGACGGGTTACATTTTTCAAAAATATATCACTTGCCAAAAAGCTAAAAGACCGTGTCAGTTTTTTGGCAAGTGATATATTTTTGAAAAATGTAACCCGTCTAGGGAATAATTCTGGTGTGTGGTTTTTCATACATGTAATTGTTTTTATTTTGTCCAGTGACCAAGGGTGAGCAATATCATCCGAAATATATGGACTTGTGAGTTAGATATTATTATCCCAGAGAATAATCCGAAAAGTGACCATACATAACTAATTTCCTGGGAAAAAATGACTTTAAAACATAACTTAACATGACTTTGATAAGTCCTAAGTTTTTAAAGGGTTTGCTGAAACGTTAGTACGAAGTAACTGGACGGGCAGGCGAGCCGGTATACGCGATTTTCGCAGCGCTTATATGCAAAGAAGATTGGTGACGTCATCAACACAAATAAAATTCATCAAGCGGCACGTGACATTATCTGTTGTTGAACAGCCAACTTCCAAAAATTCGCGTTACTTATCACTGTTGAATTACTTTACCGCATAAATGATGATGATAAATGATAAATGAATTAGTGATTCAATAATTGAATGAATGAATGAATGAATGAATGAATGAATGAATACATCAATAAATGGGCAAATGAGATGAGATGAATTGAATCAATTATCTATAATAAAGCAAAGCTCTATTATAGATAATTGTTATGGCTCTTAGGCTGCTGAAGATGACATTTGACAGAATTGATGTAACCAATTTCAAGATACTGTACACAACGGATATCCGACCACATTTGGAATATTGCATTCAAGCTGCAGGACCATACACAGCCAAAGACATTGAAACACTTGAGAAAGTACAACGTCGGGCAACAAAACTTGTCAAAGGAATTAATACCATGCCATACTCAGAACGTCTGAAGAAGCTTAAGATTCCAAGTTTTAAAGAAAGGATGCTGAGGGGTGATCTTATAGAAACTTTCAAAATCCTGACGGGAAAAGCAAATGTAGATCCAGACCAGTTCTTTGAAGTTGCTACTCAAGATAGAACGAGGGGTCATTGTTTCACGTTGAAGAAGAGGAGGTCAGCATGCTTGTTCAGGACCAAATTTTTCAGCAACAGAGTAGTGAATGTTTGGAATGGCTTGCCAGAAGAAACAGTCAAAGCTGCATCAACAAACTTGTTTAAAAATCAGCTAGATCACATATTTGCCTCTGAGACTCCCCCATGCTACTAATACTGGTCAATGGTCATGATCTGGTCATCATCAAGATTTGCTAATTATATGACGTTAAATGTGTAATGTGAAAAGTAGATGCTAGAAAACCGGCTCCCACACCCCTGCGCAAACAAGCATTCTATACCCTGGCTTAGTGCTTAGTATCCCACGCTCCCTCTCGTCTGCATATGCTCGAGTCATTGAAGACCCAAGATGAAGACTTGATACAAGACAATGAAATGGACGCAAGAATAGACATAGACAGTCCATTAATCTAAGCTTAAACTTAAAAGTAACTGTGTGCAATTTGCAAGGGAAGAAATATCGCTACCAAATATGAATTAACACCTGATAACTTATAATTTTAGTCCTCGTTTCTAAATTTTTCTGAATAAGAAAATAAAGGAAATTAATTGAACGAGTGCTTGCACATAAGTGGTCAGGAAGGAGCAGCAGTCCAAATTATCCGTAAATGGCTAGCTCTCACCCATTCCCTTGCAGAACTTGCAGCTGCACCCTGACATAAGCAGCTCCATCTCTACCCCATATCTGCCAGCTCTCCTCCCGATCTGAGTTCTGAGCGGACCTACCGTCTGTCCGGGCCGTCGACCGCTCGCCCTCCCCGACACAGCCGAGCGGCTATCACAGGCAGCTGTTGCGCCGCGAGCCACTTGACCCTACACGACCGGCGCCCTGCGAGCAGGCAATTGAGGCCCTGCGGCCGAGTGCTCAGTTAACACCACCGCCGGCCATCATTTCGCCACCTAATAACTCGGCGTCCGCCGAATCCATTTAATATTTGACGACGCTTCATAAGCCAACATATGGGCGAAATCACACAGCGCCAAGTGTAAAAGTTTGAATGGGTCAATTACTCTTCTTTGAGCGCAATTATAATCGATGAGCGCGGCGGCCAGTCGGGTTGAATCGGCCGCCGCCGCTCTGCGCCGGCCACAAAGGCGGCCAGTGGGAACGGGCCGTCGCCGCCGGGCCTCTAATGATGTGCTCTCATTGTGCCCTGCGGACGACGGACGTCGACGGGCGGAGCGGATCGATCCGTCGACGTCGACACTGCAGAAGGTGACGGAGGCGACGACCGGCCATCTCGGCTCGCCCGGTCTCATTGGCAGACAGGGACGGCAGGGATGTCACCCCTCCACGCGATGAGGCTTCATAGGACCCGAAAACGAACAGATTGTGTGCGACCTAGCGTCCTACTTCGTCAAGATGTTTTGCATATTTTACATATGTCATGCGAATGGTCACACTGCTCCGCAATAGATATTAAGCATTTGAACTTCTGCAGACGACTCGTGACTTCACCCTTTCCGACGCTGGAAGTGATGGTGAAACTTTTCGAATTTCAGTGCGAAAGGCGTTTTACTATGTCTTGATGAAGACGGTATAGTGTGAGTACCGGGTACCATCAAAGAATGCCTACAAGTATTTTTATTTTATGTGCGATAGTGCTTAACACATCCAGACTGTCTACTGTGAAGTGCTATCGGACGGTTTATATCCAGAGTGACCACTTCGCTGAAAAGAACTTCTGTAAGGATCCATTTGGTGAAAACTCATTCACTTGCTCCCGAAAGCTTTGCACACGGTGGAGTCAGCCACCATGAGACTAATGCTATGTGCTCGTAAGGCGTGAAACTACGTCACTTGTAAAGAACATTACGTATGTGTCAATGGAGAGGCTAATAGCTATAACATAAGATAGCAGCATGTTATGTGAAGCTTCAAGGTAGAAGCAGTTTTGAATGTAGTGCCAAGAAATAGTTGGAGGTACTCGAACCAGCAGTTTGTTTGAATGGTATAGTAGAATTAAAATTCCTTGCCTAAGCATGCAAGTCCAAGTAAGGCTACGTTTACGTCTGTCTCCTTCTTCGGCTTATAGCTATAGAATAACATTTTATTAGATAGTTTTACTAAAAGGAAATTTCATTAAGCATCAAGGCCGAAGGATTTACAGAAAAAAAAATGAATCAAAGTAAGAGTTCAGTCGGTGCCCCTGCCTAATGTACCATGGAAATATGCGCCTGAGGAGCCTGCGCATTTCTATCATCGCATCATCTGTCAAAAAATATTGAACGAAAGAACTTTATACTGAAAAAATGTTTTCTAAGGACAACGTAATAGGCATTACCTACAAATTGCATCGATGTAAATGTAAATCAAATTATAAAAATACCTATATAATCACCATTCACCAATCAGCTCACTGAAGCTAAAGAGAAACTGCAGCGATCAGCATGAGCCATGAGTTGAAAGGAATTTTATCCAAACGATTCAATAACATTTTGTTTACGTGCAAGTTTGCAGAGCCTAATGAGGCTATTTAATATTGCACAAGCTCACTACTTCAATGCAGTTGTACTAATAAGACTGAATACAAATAAATTTCAGTCAATAAAGAGATGACGCCGGACAGCCCCAGTCCGCACCTATTTACAGTTCTCTCTCTGTGCACCTGCGCCGTCGTCCGTGTCCTACCTGATCCCTGGTGGGTGTCGAGATGGTCCGCTCTCGGCAGAGTGGGCAGAGGAGCCGGGGTCACTCTCACAGAGAGGAGCTGTCCCGGTACCAGCGGTCAGGTCTCCGGTCCACTCTCTGCCACCATCGATCCGCCATTGAGTGAGCGCACCTTTTGGTGATTCCAGTGATTTACTCCCATCGGGGCAGGTGATTCCGTACGGTCTCTGACAGAGGTGTGGGTGGCCGGCGGCCCCGGCAGACAGGGAGCACGTGCCCGCGCGCCGGCCGCCCCCGCCGCGCCCCGCCGCCCCCGCGCGCTCCGACCATTGTCCCATAGTTGTTAACATGGTGGTCATTAGCAGACCGGTGGGTATTTGAAGTGCGCTCGGCTCTCGCGCCGTGCACCGGTGCAGTGTCAGAGAGTGTACTGGAGCGCCACCGGCGGGGATTGTCATCCGGCGGGTCCACTTTTTGGCGCCACTCGGAATGCCGCGCTGTGATTGGCTGAGAGCTCTCTGTGGGTTCAGAGTCGCAAGCTGGGCTACAGGGCACCAGTCAGATGAAACAGGGACGATTGCGGCTCGGTAGTCATCATTGGTGCTATGCATGCTGCAAATAGCATCTTTAGGTATTTTAGAAATGATTTGGAATTTAATAAAATGAAGACCGTAAGAAAAACTTTACCAAGGGGACGAGAATCAAAAGTCCTACGAATGACGAACGGTTTGAAAAAAGAAATACATTTGTTTAATCAAATCATTGGTTGGTTTAGCACAAAAATAGCCGTCCACTAATTTATTTAAGAGCCAGTTTCTGTGAATGAAACCTGAGCTAATTATAGGTACAGAAGCCTTTGTCTAAATGTCGTAGGGGTTATTTCGCCAAAAAACTGACCGCAGAAAGGGTTTCATTGTACTGGGAATGACGCCTTTCCCTCTCAATACAATAAGCGCAGACGACATGACTCAATTCATTGGCAGATTAATTGATCTCACTTATTGCTCAGAAACTTGAATTGTCAGTGTCCGTATTAACCCTCGCCGGCCGAGGGGGGGGGGCGGGTGCCGCCCCCCATAGGGTTTTTTCGCGATAGCTCCGAACACGCTGGCGATAGAGAGCTGAAACTTGGCATACTTGACCTTTGATCCAAGCCGCATCTTTTGACACCAACCGCATTTTTGGGTCAGGTCAGGTCACTGACCTATGACGTCATAAGCGAACCTCTGCACGGTCTTCAGATGTCGCAACTTCGCAACGCCCTCACTGCCAGAGGAGATGTCACAGGGAAATGAAACTTGCAGGATCTAGTATCCATTATAAGTCTCACAACTTGTTTATCTCGGATTTTTCCTAAAGGTCATATGAGGTCAGGTCATTTTCGTGACCTCACCATTATAAGTCAATGGGGAAAAATGAAAACTGCTATTCTGGCGTCGGGAACGATCTCCAACTATCTCAAGCACACAGAATCATGATTTGATGCACTCCTTGCAAGGTAAGTTGCGTCACTTTTGCAATGTTGACCTTGCGTGACGTCATTTATGACGTCATCAAGGTCATATTAGTTTTTCGTCAATAACTCCCGACCAAATTGAGCTAGCGAGTCGAGAAAGCCACCAATGGACTCAGGAAGACCTAACGAATCGAATGATATGCGACATGACCTCTTTCGACCAACTTCGTGACCTGGGGGTGCTGACCTGACCTTGACCTAAGGTCAACACCCTAAGTTGACCTGACCCGAACAAAAAGTATATCATTCGACGCGCCTGAGTAAGGCGAACACGATGCTGCCAAAATCGCGGCTCTGCGGCCGTTTTTTGCGAAGTTATTCACCAAAAACTGAACCGTACCCTGGGCACTTGACCTGACCTCAGAGGTCACCGGTTGACCTAGGACCTTAAAATTGGGTACCAATCTCTGCGTCTCGTAACGGCGCACACGCTCGTTTTTTCCGCGACGCGCTAGCTCCACCAGGGGCGAAACGGCGAGGGGGGGTCATACCCCCCCCCCCCCCCTCGGCCGGCGCGTATGTAGAAAACCAATAGGTCCGGCGAGGGTTAAGCTAGCTCAGTATATGTAACTCCTTGATTGCAGTATATGTAACTCTGATTGTTTTGTTGATGAAGATCGATTGAAAAACATACAAATCTAGGGATTAACGTAGAAAAGTTAATGACTGTTTTACATCTCATGCGTTTAGTTTCAATTAGTTTCCCAGCACACGCTTGTGTGCTTGGTATTCTAATATGCAAATGGCACTAAATTGTGATGTTGAGAGCCCCATGGTGAATCAAAAAAGGTATTAATCGACGCTGAGGAGTGTCATGCTTCCCAATATATTGTCTCATTTCCTTTGTGTCCTCGGTTTCGATTCTTTATACGTTACTGTGCAATTCATAGAAAGCTGTTTCCAATAAAAGTTAGGTTTTCTTTATATGCAAGGAAGTGAGGAAATGATAAGAACTCTTAAATTCCGGACGATGCGGGAGAGCAAATATACCGCTTAGGTATGACTCGTTTGGCTCTACCAGTGGTTTAAAATAATTATTTAATATCTACTCACTCAAGAAAACTACCTGTTTTATCTTGTACCATTCTCAAGCAAACGTTGCAAATCGCAAAAGCCCAGAAGTCGACGCCATCAGTTTCACTGTCCCTAGACTGCCGCAGTCTATGGGCACAGCCCCCTTGTCGTCCCATTTCCTGCGGCTCGGTCCTCTGACAGCGTCACCCCATTCGCCGGCGGCGGCGTCCCCACAACGGCCGGGACCACAAAAACGGCTCCCCGGTCGCATTCCTGCGCGGCGTCGGCCGTCGGCCCATCTGTCGCCGGCGGCGGTGACCGGTCAGCCGGCGGCGCCGCGCCGCGCCGCACCTCGCTGCGCCGCGCCACAAAGCGCGCACGTGCCGGCGCTTCCTGCTCTTTATGCGACTGTCAGTGGCGAGGCGTGTTTGTGTTCTACGCGGTGGCGGACGTGGCCGCGCGAGAGGTGCGCCCGCCAGTGACGCCGCGTGATGGCCGAGTGACGCGTCACACTGGGCGGCGGACGCGTCACGTCGGCACTCTGTGGGGCCGTCTGCGGTCGACACGGCCGCTGAGTTTTGCGAGCTGGGTCGGGTGTTATAAATCGCGGTGGCACTCATCCTCACGGTAGCGCCAGTCACGTTCATGTCACGGTTTGATTCAGGAGCACCGCGCGCATGGCACGCCTCGCGGCTACCGGCAAACGGACCGCGGTGGGCGCGTCTGCTCCGACGCCGCGCGGCACGGACCGGTGGCTTGGCGGGCGCGAGCTAAAACACGGCGCCCATTAGTGACCACGCGTCGGCGAATTGGACGCCCTCCTGGGTGTCACCGGCGCCCCTCGAGGGGCCAACGAGAGCATGACCGGGCGTGATCGGCGACCCCCGCCGGACGACAGGGAAGAGCGTCCTTTTCCGCCGCCTGCCCGGTCGCCAGAGAGCCCACCACGCCCGCCGCTTCCGACATCGCGCGGCGCGTCCGCGCGCGTTTTTTCGACACTTCCCGCGTGACGCCCGGACCATGCGAGTAACATGGACATTCCAAAAAAGCCGATTGGCCGTGATTACATTGCGATTAGGGCGCGCGCTCAGCTGTCGGTGGCCGCTTCCGACGCGCCGGTTTTATTGGTTTCCTCCTGACTTCCGGAGAGGGACGGGCCGGAGCGGAGGGCCCCGAGGGACGGCTGCGACCGGGGCGCTACACGGCATCGGAGCACGCACGGCCCAGCTGCCGGCCGGCCGGCCAACCGGAACAGGCTGCAACGGACGTCCGAGCGGACCGAGCCCGAGCGACGCCACCGTGAATGGTCGCCGGTGACGCGGCGGAGGGGGATCTGGTCAGCGCTCAGGCCACGTCGCGCTGCGGCCTGTCGGTGCGACCTCCCGGCCCCGCGCCCCGCCGAGTCAGACCCACAGCCGGAGTCAGTTAGCGCGCGGCAAAAAACGGGCGCGGTGACGCGCGGTTCGATGACGAATCAGGCGTGGTGTGATTACCGGCCTGAAAGGGCTGCTTGCCGGCGACGTAATGACCGCGCCGGCGGCGGCCACCTGCGCCGTGCTAACGGGCCGCCGCCGCGGGCCCCGCCGCCCCCTGTCCATCACTGCATGCGCCGCGGAGCAGTGATAAAGGGTGGGCGACTGAGCGCGGCCGCACACACCGGTCGCTGTCTCCGGCACAGAGGTCTCCGGGCAGCGCCGACCGCCGGAGACCGACGCACGTCCGCAGGTACCAATTTGGTCCGACAGCCGGCACCATTCCGACCGTCACGCCCGCGTCGCTAGAGATCATTTTCTCTGATTTATGATGGGCGCTTGGACGGTCGCGACGCCCGCGCGACAGGCGACAGCCGACGCGGTGATTTATTTTAATCGGTTATCATCTGTCGGTGAATGGAGCCGGCAACAATAAATCCATTACCGGATAGACAATGATGGAGTGAGTCGGAGTGCGGCGCGCGCCGCCCCCGCGCTCAGATCGTCGGCATCGATGGAGGAGGCGGCCGGCGGACGACGCGGCCGTCAGCCACAAATGATGCCGCGTCACAGTCGTCCGTTGGCGGTGCAAGCTGTGCTTTCCAGCCGGCCGACACGGTGGCACAGGACAACAGAGCCGACATTACGGTGGAATGGCCGGCCGACTACCGCCGCCGCGCCGGACAATGGGGCTGACATCCAGCGGGCAGCCGACACTGATAATGCACGGTTTGAGCGGCCGGCTAATGCCACCCGAGGTGCCACACGTAATGATCCGGCCCGGCCCGGCTGGGACGCATATTTCACCGCCCGGGGGTAATGGGAGGCGCCGCGGCACAGCGCTGTACAGCGCGGAGGAGGGGTCGAGTCATGATTCAACCGGTCTGAGTACCGAGCGGTGACACGACTTCGCTTTTGTGCCGCGCCACTAAACAATGCCTCCCGACAGTATTGATTTTGAGACCCAATAGCACTTCGTGGTCATCTACATTTAGGTCAAGTCAGAATATGAATCACGCTAGGCATGAAAGAGTATTTGTGTAATGTCCATGCCATGTCGGTGTCAGAAATATTCGCAAGCAATGGGGCTCACCTGAGTTATCAATGGCCGAATCGTTCAGTTTGTTAAAGAGTATGGGAACCTTCTTTCCCAAAAGAAGCTCGGTACCAGGCTCGATGTCCACCAGAGTCTCATAATAAATCTGAAGAAACAGTGACATAGGTTAGTCAAACATGTGTTAAAAAATGTTTTACTTTGCTCCGGTAGCAATTAAGTCATACCTATACGGAGATGAAAAGGGTAAAATTACGTCAATGCTTTTGCCAAGTCAGAAACAGACATTCTGGTGAGAAGTTAATGGCAGGCAGGAAAAATTATAAATTCGTTTCATCACATAGGAAGCGTTTCCTTTCTACGTTCTACTCATTTTACTTGCTGCTTTGAACAGAATAACGTTACTTGTTCTGGCACTCGCATAACGTGGAAATAATATCATTTCTCACCGATCCAAACAGAAGAATGTGCTGCACATTCTGCTGCGACAGATCCGAGGCCGACGCGACGAACCTCAGCCAGTTACCGAACTCACTGCCGTCCAGGTAGCTCTTCATATCGGTGCCGGGAGTGGCGATCTGCAGAAAGGAGAGTTCGATGTGTTAGGTTATTCACACAATGAGTGTTCTGTTATATTGGAAGACCGAGCTGGAGAGTGAGACAGAGACGCAAGTCCCGCACGTCTCATTTAAATATAATGCATGTAGCTATTGTTCAATAAAAAAGAAAATTTTCTATCGTATGAACAAGATTCTGCGATAAAGATCTGATCGGGACAGCAGCAGTGCAAAATGAATCGTATATCCGTCGTTTTAGAACAACGGCCACTATGGGGCCGGGCCGCCGGCGGCACCCCGCCGCGTTAAGATTCACTAAGTGTAGTCGTTCGTCTCCTGCTAACGCCAGATATTGAGTGCGCTCCCCGCCAGTAAAGTGTTCTAAAAGGCCCTGTCATACGCTCGAATAAATTCGGTACGTCCAAAAGAAATCGATTTCCGGAGGTGGCGGCGCCGCGCACAGCGAGGCGGCAGCCCAAGACGTTAGTGCGGCGAAGGCCGGCAGATGGCAGGCCGATCGGCGCCTGAACGCCGACTGTGCCGCAAGACAGGGTTGCTACCGGCACAGCCTAACAAGAGTAATTAGTCCGCGTAATGGACGAGATGGCATGAAAGGGGCATATTGCTAGTGGTTCAGAGCGAGCGAGCGCAGCGAGCGAAGCGAGTCTTTTCAATATAACGGAAAAATCTCAGTATGAGCGGCCCGGCCCGGCCCGGCCCGGCCCGGCCCGGCCTGTAACGCTTTTGAGAGGCTTATATCTCAGCAACCGCTGGACCGATTGGCCTGCGGTCTTTTTTGCTGGGTAGCCCCATCCCTTCTACCCCGTAATTGACTACTTTTGATACATCTCAGTGACCGTCGTGGCACGTGCCACGTGAAAAGTCAAGGGTGTTCAAGCTGTTTTGCAAAAGTAGTGATTTTGAGAGGCTCATATCTCAGCAGCCGCTTGGGCGATTGACTTGCGGTGATTTTTATAGGGTAGCTGCATCCTTTTTACCAAAAATAGGATACTCTCGATGCATGTGGGTCACCCCCAGTGCACGTGCAAAATACAACAATAAGAGGTGTCAAATTTGTTCCCATTTTAATAACTCGGTAATTACTTGGGCGATTTCGCTGAAACTTGGCATACAGGTAGGCACCCACCAGGCAATGCATTCCCATGTGTTGCGGTTAAGGTGCTACTGCACGTGCGCACGTGCAGAGGGCGCTTCCAGATCTCGAGAACGGCTGGGCCGATTGCGCTCAAATTTGGTACACGGTTGGAGACCGGTTAGTAGGGTGCCGTGCAATAGTCAGTTTGGACCCCGTTTGCACGTGCGCACGTGCAGAGGGCCGCTTCCAGATCTCAGGAACGGCTGGGCCGATTGCGTTCAAATTTGGTACACCGCTAGCGACCGGTTAGAAGGGTGCTTTGCGCAAGCCCGTTGACCTCGCCCTTCCGCACGTGCAGGGCTCACTACCTCGCTCGCTCGTTCTTCGCCCAAAAGGCGTTTTACTGGTCTATTGATTTAAGGTAATGCATTTGGCATTGAAGCTGAAAGTGTAGTGACTGTGAGCCACATGTTGTATTCGGTAAGGCAAACGAGCAACACAAGCTTCTTAGCTATTTTAAAATGCTTGCAGGGACCCGACGCTGGATTATGTTATGAGCGCATGACTTCCTTTATCTGATTGATTGATGATTGTCGCATGTTTTGACTATGTTTTACACGGCTGTTGCTGATGTTATCTAAAGTGTCGTATATAGTCAGAGCACCCTACCGCATATTTTATCATAAGGAGAGACGGTCATTATTCATCGGCGCCGCGCGTCTGTTGCTGATTATTAGCCGTGTATCCGACAATGGGGCACAAACAACCGCTCCCGACACGACCGATCAAATCAGCGGCTTCTGTGTGCGGCGTAACAGCGCAATCGACGCGCTGTCTGCGGCTTTACCTATCAGGCGGCACGTGCTTCTCGACAGGGGTCCGCCGAGCCGGGGAAGGGGCATCCGGCGCCGGCGACCCCTTCAATGGGTACCGCACAATGTCAGACATAATGTTGTGATTTATGTACAAAAAGGCGGGCGCACAGAATACAATGATTATTTGGTTGGCGCGCTGCGCGCTCGCGGCATTGTTGGCAGTAACGGCTCCGCGGCAGTCGGCACAGTCGGACCGATTGTGGCCGGCCGGCCGACAAAAATGACGCCACCCTCGCGGTCCGCGTACGCGGCAATTGAGTGATGCTATCGGCGACTGCCCAGCGGTGGGCGTCAAGCCACAATGACTGTGTCCGCGCTGTGGGCGCACACAGCTGCTGCCGACTAGGAGTTGCCAGGTATCTGATCACACTCCCAAAGTTTAGTTGGACGATTTATATGCGGGCTCTTTCCGCCTTTCGGTTTTGTGTTTCAACTCATGATTAATTTCCTCCTCATTTATTATCAGCGCAGGGGCGTGAATCGATGCAGCTAGCTCAAATAGCATAAGGCGTAAAATTATGGCTAGTAAAATATAACCGTATTTGTCAGTCTCTTTTCAAAGTCCGTTTTTTTTTTTTGTCATAAAGTTCGCGTAAAAAAAAGCTGTTCCAGCGCTCATCTATTCTACTTCAAAGTCTCTCTTCCTTCTTCTTCCTCCATCTGCCTTCTCCTTCCTTTTTCTTCCTTTCTCTTCTTTCTTGCCCTCCTTATCGCCTCTCTCTCTCCCTCTCCTCTCTCTATCTCTCTCTCTCCCTCTCTCTCTCTCTCTCTCTCTCTCTCTCTCTCTCTCTCTCTCTCTCTCTCTCTCTCTCTCTCTCTCTCTCTCTCTCTCTTTCCGCCGCGCAATACCGCTCCCACCATACCATCTCAGCCAAGATGGCGGCCATCCTCGCGACGGCGCTATCGCCGCGAGCGCAGCGTGATGCGCCATTTGAGGCCATTAGTGGCGCGCGGCGGTGATTGCGGCGCGGTGTCGTCGTCGGCGGCGACTCAATGGCGCACCCCGCCGCCGGCTGCTCTCGTCTCGTCTGACTGATGGTCGGCGACAAAATGGATAACCCATGTTGTCGTTCGGCGGCCTGAGAGAGGAACCCCGAGCTGCGGCTGGGCCGGGAGGTAAGATGGCGAGCTGCATCACTGGCAAGGAGAGCTGACGGGCTGGCGAAGGGAGAGGCAGAGTGGGAGGGCTGGGGAGAGAGGGCAGCGACCCAGTGTCGGAGAGGTCGGCACACCGACCACAGAGCAGAAGAGAAGGGAGAGAGGTTCGGTAAAGAGCAGCAAGGAACGAAGGGAGGGTGGGATAAGAAGGCCGCGCCGTCGGATGGAGAGGGGCGTCAGGTTTAATGGCGGCCCTATAGACGAGAGTGTTGGGGTGGGGTCGGGGTCCAGTACCGCTGGACGCGAGGCGGGGCGGAGTTCAGCACCACTGCTACCAACCGGAATGTCGGCGAGGCATTGTGCTCGCCTTCTCAGGAAAGCTGAACCACGGGCAGACTGCTAACCAGACCGACAGTAAAACCAGATTGGATCTCATGTCCGAGACGAGATGGGTGAGACGTGAGCACTTCGCGTCAATAACAGCTGGTCAGGAGGGCGTGCGGATCATGGTCCGAGCTTTAAGAGGGGTAGAAAGTTAAATCAGTAACGTCTAACTCTCGAAAACAAAGGAGAAATAAAATTCACATATATGCGTCGATCACAGAAGAACGTGCATGGTTCGATATAGGTGTGTACTTATGCTTATTGCATAAAAAGGAGGATGTGTTGCCTTTGTGATTTTAGACAGTAGCTTGAGTTCATTTTCTGTAACCTGTTTTTTGTTGATACCTTCTGGTGTTATCTATCAATGAACAGGAGTAGTATCATGGATTGTATTGTAAGTCTCTCCCAATGCAGTATGCACAGTCCAAGCCGGTCCCGCTGCTGCGGACAAACGGTTCCCAAGTGAGATGGCGCTATTTGAACAGCGCTGCAATGGCCGGAGATCGCCAGTAACAATGACCAGCCGCCCCTCTGACCAGCACCACCGGACCCCCCTCCCCGCCCCCCCCCCCCTCTCCCCCTCAGCTCGGCAGCGAACCGGCGCGCCAATCGCAGCCGGCCCATTCAAACGCGGCCACTAAATTATTAACGACGCCGGCTGGAATCACGGCTGTGCGGTCCGCTCGGCAGGCGGACAGATGTAGCGACGCCGAGCGAGGCTGTGCTCCATCGGAACCATCGCCGGCGCTCACCGGCGAGCACGCCAGCCGCATTAATGTTGCATGGCGGCGTCACAAAGCGAGCCGGCGCCGCTGACCACGCAGATAATTAAACACGAGCCGGATCGCCCGGCCCTCCGCCGACTGTCAGCCGGAGAAAAAATCGGCCGGCACGCGAGCCGCGATTCGTGGCCGGATTTGTTTGAAATCGCGCTGAGCCCTCGCGCTAGAGTGACGCGGTTGCATGCGCGCGACGGTTGAGAGCACACCGAATAATGGCCAGAGTCAATAGCTGAATGGATTAGCGATAACCGTGAGCTGGGGTTGTGTAATGATGATCCTGGGGGTGAGCAATGCACCACTGTCTAATCCAGGCGATATCCTGGCATTGGAAATGCTTGGAGGCCTCTGTCGAAATCGGAAATCGGCAGTATACCAAAGCGATTAAGCTTGTTAACTGAATGATTTTGATAAAACAATTATTGGGTATCTATCAGCTACAGCTATATTACTTGAAATAGTAAATTAATTCCTTCTCATCAGAGAAACGTGGAGAGTTCATTTAAGACTTCAACTGAAAATTGTTTTTACTAAGCGAGAAAAGAAGTTCTTTTTTGCACGCCTACTGCAGGCACCGTAAACTCGTCTGAGCGCCTTTGGCTGTCGTGAGTGTCACTTCTCACTCCCTTATATCATTATCTGGAGCTCCGAGGACATTCAGCCGGACGGTCCGGCGCCACGCTCCTCTCCGCACCTCACCTCTGACCCTCACCGTCAGGAAGAGAGGCCGGCACGCTCCGCCGCCTCGCGCGCCCACAGGATGCAACCCTTTGACGTCGCATTGTGGTCGCGCCGAGACTAATTCAACGACAATGCGCCGTATGCGCCACTAATGGCCCGTCCGCGCCGGCCTCGCCGCACGCCGGAAACAGCTCCGCCAGCGGCGGCACGTGCTCCGAGCGGCGGCGGTGGTGACGGGGCCGGCGGTGGTAGCGGCTATTGTAGCCCTCCCGGCGGGCGGCGGCCGGCCGGTCGGCAGTTTATCTCCGTCCCAGGACCGGTTCCGGTTCCGACCCCGGGTCACGCCACATCGGCCCCGGAAGACAGAGGTGTCGCTGATGGCGCCGGCAGAGTACCGAGAGCAGGGAGAGAGCGGAGGAGCGGACGATGGGAGCGCCGATCGTCGACAGACGCTGAGTGAGTGAGCCGGCTCCGGCGGACGGTGACGCCAAACGACCGAGTGCACTTGTGGGGCGGCCGCGGCGGGCGAGAGAGTCGGCATTAGTGGCTATTATGGCCGGCCGGCTCCCCCGACCGGAGCCGACACTGTGACGAGCGGCTCAGGGGAGGAGCTCGCTAATTAACTGCGCGTGGGAACCGCCTTTGATGTTGATTTGGGATTATGTCGTGTTTGGCGGCACCCTGTCGTCGATGGGGAGCACTCAGCAGCGCTTAGGAAACCCCACAGGCTGTAATCACTAATCAAACCAGTTGAGTAGCCGGGGCTTCCTCTGATATCGCGAAAACACCAACAGGGGCAGATGGTATTGATCAGGTATTGGACGATCAGCTTCTGAAGTCAACTGACGATAGAGCATTATTATTGCGCACATGTCCTTTTCTCCTAGAACGATGGAAGGTAAAGTGATAAGCTGATAACAACTTGCCTGCTTCTTTAGAGACAAATGCGTCCAAATCAAATCTGTACAGAATGATATGTGACGAAAAAAGTATCGGATAGGTATATACGAAAAAAAAAACTATCAACAATGCACACCCACGCCGAGATAGGCGTAGAACAAAGTTTGCTTTCTCTCTCTACGATGCAACAGTGGCCGTGTTCAACAGCCAGCAGGCCGTGAGTCCATAGCGATCCGGTCATGATTCCGCCGCGATCCGGTCATGATTCGGCCGTGATTCGGGTCACAATACACGGGCACGTGGTACGCCGCCGGCTCTCCGACCTCGCAGCAAATCACGTCGGAAGCCCATTATTTCGGATTGGCGGGCAGATTCCATTGATAAAACAAACAGACCATCTGCCGGTGCGCGGTCAGTGCGCTCGCCGGTAATCATCGTGCCGCGCTGGTAATAACGGGTCCATATCGGGCCACATCGGCAGCTGACAGTGTTCAGCGGACGGGGAGGGGAAGAGGGGGCGCCGCTGGACCGCTGCGAACCAAAGCGGACCACAGCGGACCATAGCGGACCGCGCCGGACCGCGGCTCAGAGGAGGCAGTGAAGCGGGACCGGCAGTTCGAGCTGATAGTTCACCCCAGCGACAACAGGTGGCAGCACATGGTAGTTACCTGTCCGACCGCGCTGCACCTGGACGACACCTGGTGAGTTTTGTTCGAACTACACGCTGCCTGAGGTCCGTTTCACACTAAAGCGCTGGAACGCGCTGGTGTCGGCAAAGCAGAAACAAACTCCTCTCGAAATAGCATTTATCGTTAAATTTATCGTCAAAAGCTAATTCCGATGAAATTTCATTTCAAAATCAGAAGGTAGAGCTAACTGCGGACCAGCTGTAACTCTGCAAGGGTTCGTAGGAAGGTAGGTGAAAAAAGACCTAGCCCATGTGTCCGGACTGGAATACTCTGGTGGTGACAAGGTTACATCCTGAATCGACTCTGAACCGACTCAGGAGTCCGCACCGACTGGGGTCCGCTGGTCGACTCGGTGCCGGCGCCGTCAGAGGACAGGAAGTTTGCTCCGGCCGTGTCGGTCGGCTCTAACCACCGTGTCAACAGGTCGGCGGCCCGACCGACACGGGCGCCGGATGCCGCCCCCGCTCCCGCCCCCGCCGCCGCCGCCGCCGCCGCCCGAGAAACGACGGGAAGTGTGCGCCCGCTCGTCAAATCTTATCACGCCACCTCTTCCTGCGCGTCTTCCGCCGCCATCGGTGGGTCATTTTACTGTCCGGTCACGCATCCGGGTCACTGTCCGGTTACCTGCCGAGCCAAGTTACCAGCAGGGTCACTGTCAGTTACCGTCAGCAGTTGCTGTCATGTCTCTGCCCTGTCACTCATTTACCGGCCAATCCCCGGTGACGATGTTCGGATTAGTAATTTTTTTCCACGTGTCAAAAATACACGTACCTAGATGCAATGCATTCCGTATCCATGACTGCATTTAACTATTCTTATTGTTAAACTATCTAAGACGTTTCCGTCACGTGATTAAAAGCATCCAATAATGTTCACGCATAGCCTCATCAGTCCAAATGCGTCCGCAACATGGTGAAAGGCTTTGAACTTCTTTACGTAATGGACATCGAATCTTTCGACGTACTCGACGCTGTAAGGGATCTTCGACTTTAATAACTCTGTCGGCTTTTAGTACATCATTAACTGTATGAAAAGCCTCCATCCGACTGCATCCGTACACCACGTGTCGCCAATTAACTCGCCGCTCAGTGGGAGCGACATTCTGCGGAATAATCGCGGCCGACAGCGCCGCTGTCTTGATGAGGTCGGAGCGGCGGCCGTCGAGCTCGACGGCGAGCTGGCACATCATTTGTGTGAGCTGAGCCGCGGCCGACGCCGCTTTGTGCCGCGACCAATGGACGCCGGCGCTGCGGTCACGTGACTGAGGGTGGGGCGGCGGCGGCGGCGGCGGCGGCGGCCGGGTCCGACGGGGCGAGGCTCCGATTCGGAGGATCGGCTGAGCGGCTTGATTCGGAGCGGAAGAGTTTAATAGGGGACCTGGCAGCGGGGACGGTGACGGTGTGTCAATTGTGTCAGGTAATCGGCTTACCACAGCCAAATAGGCCACTCGGGCCCCACCGCCGCCGCCGCGCTCAGAGACTGGAGAGAGCTTCCTCAGAGCTGAGGCTCTCTGCTGCACTTGAGAGCGCCTAATGAGCATTGGACGAATAATGTTTGGAACTGATACTGGGCCGGGGAGCGACCCTTATGGGGATGTGGTCGGATAGAGTTGAACGAGTGTTTGTGTTTCCTCTTCATCACGGTGGAAAAGCAAGATGACGCACGCGGCACGGAACATAATTCATGGAAATAAATCGCGCTTTTTCGGTCAGCCATGCATGTGTCCGCTAGATTTGCTCCGTGCACTACAGCCGCTATCGTCGTGTGCGCCTTAGTAGGGATATTTTTTTTATTTACATATGTAAATGTGTCACTTATGCCATGCGCACTGCGCAGTGCTTTTTCTTGCCTGTCCTTGGCTCAGATTGAAAGCATAAGCCTTCGATCCCTAGAGGCTAATCGATTAATCTGCTTAACCCAAAATTTTGAATACAAACTTATCGGTGAACCACAAAATTATTCCACAGGCGGTTTAATTTATTCAAATCCATGTCAGGCGCAAAATGCATTAAAAACAGCCGCCGTGGCGGTGCGGCGGACGCGGCCATCCGCGCTCGGCGGTACGGTTTGTTTTCATTTCGGCATCTGGCGCCGTGATAGAGATGTCACTCTTGATTTTCCAGGGTGGTGCGCGTGCAAAGGATCCATCCTCCGGCGAGCGGTGACGTTAAATGCCGATATCTATTACCGGAATTTCCCTTCACACGTTGGCTGAATGGGATTGTGTCCGTGCCAGTGGCGCTGTATCGGTCCGGGCCGTGCGCCGGTCGCTCCCTTTGTGACGGCGATTCATTCTGTTTGGCGCATTGTCGCCGCCCGGTGCCCGGCGACGAGCCGCACCTTTTCAAGATAGCAGAAGGCTGGCGAAGAATAAATCTGACAGAGGCGGTGATAAGATAATCAAGCACAGTGTGCGCCTCGTCGCCAACATTTGGCGCCGCCAATCAGCGTCGATTCACACGGGAAGAGTATCCGCCGGACGGGTCCGGATGCCGCCTCTGTCACTGGCGTGTCCGATCGGCGGGACGGGCCGGCGGCGTTCGCGGCAGCTGCCGTCGCCTCGCTGTCTACCGCCGCCAATATAACACCGTCCCAACGAGGCACCGGGCCGGGGCGGGACGTGTCGCGCCGCTGACACCTGCCCCTGTCCCCGCCGGCAGCCCACGCCGAGACATCATCATCAATGGCCGGGCGCCCCCCGCCGCTGCGCAGGGCACGCCGCGGGGGACGAGCCGCCGCCGACCAGCGCGTCAATGAGACGATCCTTGGCGGCGGCAATGGCGGCGCAGCGGGGCGCCGAGTGGGACAAACTCGTCGCGCGGCCGGCCCGCGAACTGTCTCTGACCGCCTCTCCGAGTCGCCGCGCGTCAATATTTGAACGCCAGCCGGACCGGCACCGGCGGAGCGGTACAAAGCGACCGCCGCCGTCACAGACACCGGACGGTGAGAGACTCTGCTGGGTGTCAGCGGTGGACCCGGGCTGGCCGTCTCACTATGGGCCAGAGTCATCACTCAGAGAAGGGATCGGTAGCTTGGCGGCCTCCTCAATGATATCTGAGCAGCGTGTAGTATCGATCAAAGAAAACACAATCAACAGAAGAGAATCGATGTCTGCTTTACGCAGCGGCTTGCCCGACCGGCTTGTTCACCGTCTGGCTGAACATCTGGGAAACATCTTCGTAGAAATCCCGAGATGACGTCGATCTCGTGTGCGTAGTGATACAGGCCTCTGAGAACAGAACACGCCGACGCGACCGAACAAACACAGACAGCTGTCCGCATCATCGTCCTTCCGTTCACACGGCGGAGACACAAGACTAGGTATAGAAGGACCCTGTCGTGCCGCGATAACCAGCGCCGCAGGAACGGATGACATAAACCAGTGTCAACAGATTCTGCAGAAGCAATGTCGCCCTTATGCGGCACAGTCGGACGCCGGAAAGCCCGCAGTCTTGGCCGGCTAGCGAATCTGCCAAGTACAAACCACGATGAGGCTTTTGAAGTTGCCGCCGGGTGTGTCATATCCCCTGAAGCCTGGCTGTATAGCTAGCTCCCGATGTGCTATCGGCTATCACAGGCGATGGGCTGAAGCACTTTCGGGGCTTAGAGGCAGATCACATTGTAGACAGCCCCCTTGAAGATCTCTTGACGACATAGCGCTGGTGACTGCGATGGCCGCGGATCATCCCGAGCCGCATGGCTACTGATTTTACTTTGACCCAGCCGACCGCCGCCCACGGCAGATGCTCCGCTGCCGCCACCATCTGCGGTCCATCAGCTCTATCTGTTTGCGCGGCTCTCGTGCGCTAATCGTCGGCGCCGCGCCGTCACACACACGGTCACGGTGTCAGGCCGTGGCGGCGATATCTGTCGAGTGGCGCCACCGGCCGCTATCTAGCCCATCTGCCGGCCGTTTATGGCCGCCACTGCACACTGTGCACATCATCAGACACTGATTAGCGTATAATCACCGCCGCCCCCGCCCCCGCCCCCGCCCCCGCCCTGGCGGCTCTCCCGCCGAGGCGACGGTCCCCCTAACCCCGGGTAGGCCAGACGGGGAGTGGCAGACGCCGCGACCGAGGGATTACAGGGATGAACGGGGGCTAACCGGGCACTATCTAACTCCGAATGCAGTATATCAGCAATGCTTTACTGCCGGGTGATATAAGCTCAGACTTATCAAACGGTACCGTGCTGAATATGCAGCCTTTAGAACATCCCGAGCTGCACCACTCCGAGGCCCATTAACCGCAGTTCAAACATGACTGCGGTTTCTCACAAGTCGGCGCAGTTCGCGGTGCGTTCCGTCCACATAGACTGTTTTGCCGATTCATTCTTGGCCGCCGGCTGGCAAACTGCCGGAGGCCGCCGGCGGTCGGAGCTACGAGCTCGGGGGAGGGTCGAGACTGAATGGAGAGCTCCTCAGGCTGTTTGAACCAGTCCAATCATCCTGCATACACACCGACACACACACACACACACACGTGCGCGCGCACAGGGGAAACTGGGCCTGGCCGTCTGAGTCTGGTAGTGCGGCGTTTACATACCTCGGTCTGCTTTGCCAGCTTCAACGCTAAGGCAGCCCCTTGACAGGTCACACTGCCAGGTGTGTTCAAATTTACCACCATGTCTCGAAAAAGACAGGACGGGGCAGACGATGAGAGGGCGGATGTTAGACTTATCAGCGGCCCGGTCAGTGCTGAGGACATGGATACTGAGAAGTGAGAACTCGGAGAAGACACTCTTCAAGGACGTGTGAGTCGGCAGGAAACGGTGCCGATTGCCTTGAGTCTTCATTTAGCAGAATCTCGCGGTGTTCGTCACAGACCTGACGAACCGGTGTTGTTTGTCTGGCGTCAATATTTGCCGAGTTTGCATCCCTTTGTCGGTGGCTGCTGCGTATTGCCTATCTCCTATACCGTCTAGCGTTTCGCTGACCTCTCCAGTGACTCTCCGTCCCTCCTTCTCCCTCAAGCCCACGCGCTCTCCCATGTGTCTGTCTTCCTCGGCCGACGTCCGCGCGCGCCGCGCACTGTTTGTCTGTGTTTGTCGGCGTGTTTGTGTGTATCTGTGTATCCCAGCGAAGCCGAGATGTTAGTCCGAAGAGCGGCAAACCGCACTGGGCTGTTGACTACCGGCTTAGATCATTGTTTAATAGCGGCGCGGCGCGGGCGGCGGCGCAGCGGCGGAGGCGGCGGTGCCTCTGTGGCCTCTATCGGTCGTGTACATTGGTGAACAGCTCGCGTCTGCCTGTGTGTCTGTGTGATCTGCGAGATCAGACGGCGAGCCGCCAGCGCCGCCGGGAAGTGACGCGGCAAATTGTCCCCGGCCGGCCGCCGATGACGTCTCTGACGCCGACGGTGACGCCGCCGCCGACCGCGGGAAGTGACGTCGAGTTGTCTCAGCCCGGTGTTAGCACACGCTTGTGCGGAAATTGGGTTTGGGCGGGTGTCACACATGTGTCACTATCGCCGGTGAAACTGGCAATCCGGCTCGAAACTCCACTTCCGCCCGATCCAAACGCTGACATCGTCGTAATGTAAAGCCTGTAAGGAGCTACGCTCGAGCGACAAAGAACAGGTGAAACATTTTTTAGCTTTTTAGTCATAGTTTTATCTTTAGGAAGTGCTAACTTTCTTAGTCCGATTTATGGTGAAATAATTTTAAACGCATTGCAGTGTTACAAGGGTTGCGAGCCTTCACCAAGCGTTATTGATCTTGGTGTTGATGTGAGGCACTTGACGCGATAATGCCCTATCCAAAATTTGCACGTGCCCATTCTGCAAGCTGATTATGAATCATTGTCAAATTACTGGCCCCAAATTCCTCGGTGTCGTATAATAACACATAATGTGTATCAAATTATCCCGGCCACCCAGCGGCCCGCCGGGAGCGGCCCATTACCGCCGAATCGATGTCTTTCCGGCTTCCGTTAGCGCCGTTAGAGGGACGGGGATCGGCGGCCGGCCCGTGTCAGGACCATCAGCGCGCGCCGGGCCGCCGCTCGGCCCAGCTACACCGGCAGCGCTTCCGGACACCAACTGCTCGCGGACACGCCAGGGGACACGGCGGACACGTGTCCGTACCGCCCCTGACCGCCAGCTGTGCCCTCCGACCGCTCCAGGCTGCCGCTGGCCCCTTATTGAACGACAGGTATCAGACTCCGACCACACGCGATCCGCCGCCGGTCTGCCGTGCTCTCAGGTAGCAGTGACATTGGTGTTCGGCAGGGGCAGAAAGGAGATGGATAAGGATAGGTTCTGTCCATATATTCAGATTGGGCTCATCCAACGGCCACAGCAGTAGTTACTAACGATATATTATAGGGCTGGGTATGGTTTATGATAATGTCTCGCTTCGTTCTGCAGTTATGTCAAAGTTCGATTTCTTCCTATGGATTTGCGAGCTTCAAATCCATCAAACAGCTTTCCAATAAGTAAAATGCTCGAAACGAAACGTAAGCTTCAAAGAAGCAGGCTGGTCGCCTGCAATTGTTGCTGTACCGACTTGTAGTTGAACACCTTCAGTGTCTCCCCTGTGGGCGACGGACAGCGAATGGCCAGCAGCGGACGCCGATTGCGGACGAACGGGCGCCGGTAGCGGACACCGGCACACGGCACCATCTCCCGCGGGACCGGCGCCGACTGGGCGCCGATTGGCCCGGTGACCTGACACGCGCGGTACGCCGGCCCGCTCGCGCCGCATCCATATTTGATCGGGCTGTGACACGAGACCTGCCCGGACCGCAGATAGCCATTACGGTGGCCGGCTATTACGGCGCGCGCCACTATTGACGCAGTGTAATGGGGCGCCAGTGCCGTGTCGCGCACCCAATCACACGGCCACACCTACCGGGGGTGGGAGCATTGGGTGGCAACAGCACGCGTCAACAGCGGCGGCGACCTGCTCGCAATGCTGCCGAAAACTGGAATGTGATGAGAATGGGGCTATTGTACAGACAGATACTTGTAATCAAAGCATACGCAAAAGCTAATGCCTGGTTTATTTTTATTCCTTTTCTGCGATGCAATTGTATGAAATATAACTTCGATTGCCTCGCCGAAAAAGGTCCAAAGAATGGTGCACTGTATATTTATGTGCTGAAAAAGGATTATCAAAAGCGAAACATTTGGCTCTGGGCTGAAAGAAATGTGATTTACGGATCTACCTTCAAACGTAGGTGGGTGACTTCCAAAGTTCTGCCGCCTCCCCTAAACCGATGGTGAAACGTGATCAGTGCACGCAGCGGGTGGCCAGAGGTCCCACTTGTTTCAGTGCGTCTCCGTTGACCGCTGCCTGTATCTCCCCCGACAGCATCACGCTTCATCAATCAACAACCTGTTTGAATTTTTTTCTCGCCCACGCTGGCTCCCACGCCGGGCCGGTGCCGACCCCTGTGACACCCCTCCCCCGGACCCCCTGGGGGTGCGCCACTGGGGGATCGGTCTTCATCCCCGGAGGGCCAGACAGCGCGGCGACGCGAGACACGCATCATTGACCGGCTAATTTCGGCAATTAGTCAGCGCGCTGGCGGCTCGTAACCCGCCCCGGCGCTTCGCACCCCTCGCTGACGCTCTACCGATGAGCCCCGCGGGACCGTGTCAGGACGAGTGTCAGGGCCGGGGCGGTGTCATGGTCGTGTGTCAGCACATAGGACCCGTCGCTCGCTGGTATTCTGTGAGTGATACGCCGCGGCATTGTCCTATAGCGTGAGGACGCCCGGCCGCTGGCATATACTGACATCGGTGGTGGGCGCGCAATTAAAAGGCGATTTGCCATTACCGTCGGACGATGGTCGCCACGCACGCACACCGCACAGGGCGATCGCTGCACCTGATATAGCAACCATAGCAAACAATCAGAGCTGACACGGCAGCACTGGGGTGTGGGAATAGCAAGAATGCTTAGGTGCAGACTGCAGATGGGTCTGAAAGCTGCTCATTACAATGGTTGTTCCCAATTCTATATAGCGAAACATAGCTTAAAAAACTTTAAACGAAATATAGCTGCTCCTGTTCTGTAAAGTGAATCTTCGCAATAATGTATTTGAATTTGTGAAGAATATTATTGTTCTATCTTCATAAGACATTTAAACGCTCTTCAAATTTAATTGCACAAAAATGTCCTCTAACTAACTAGTTATCAAACTGAAAATTTCGGATTACATATTGCTTATCTAGCTTCTGCCTTTGTAGTTATCTCCCATTCTCATTCACGAGCATTCCCTCTCCTCTCCTCTCCCGTCGCTCTCTTCTCCCAGCGGAGAGCCGGTGGCGTGACCGTCAATCCCTCCTCCCCCCAGCCCCCGTCGACGATTAGCCCGGGGCACAATCGTTCTGGTTCCATCTCCCCGCGGCGCCGACATTGTGCATCTGAATCGGACGGCACCAGCCTCCTGGCCTCCCGAGGTGCTGAGACAACACCGCTGACGGAGCCGGCGGGGTGCTGAGACACGACGATTCTGATCAGAGGGACGAGCCGATTCTGATCGGACAGGGATCGGGGAGAGATGGCATATTTGCCGCCGCGGGGCGCCGGAGCGACAGCTGCATCAGAGTCGGGTCGGGACAGAGCGAGGGGTTGAGCCAGGGATGGGAATTACATCCAGATTAGGCTTTGCAAGAGGCGATGGCTGATGTTTCATCACCTATTGCAAGCAATTTTACTACTTTATTTCTTCCCCGCCTACAAGAATTGAATTGTAATTAGTCGAGATCAACGTTTCATTTAGCAAACTTTTTCATCAATGCTCAATGAAAATGCTGAAAAGTGAAATCAAATTGGGTCTGATCTAGCCTTAGCACACGGGTCACCAAACGCTGCGAATTCGAGTCAGACATAGCGCATATGCAATATGAGGGCAGTTGAGTTGATACTCGATACATTGACTGCCGAGTTGCTGGGAGGGGTCGCGGAGTCTTCACACCTCCCCAGCCGGCCGAACCCGTGCACGTCAGGTCGTCGGCCATCGCGCGGCAGCCGGGCTGTTTTCGGCCGTGCGCTGACCAAACACCGGGCCAGCTTCGTTTGAAGTTTCCCCGTCACCGTCCGCGTCGGCTTGTTTCAGCAGAATAAACAGCACATCGAGCAGTTTTTGCTCGTCGCCGCGGCTTTTAATCACCTGGTGCAGCGGTTCGTCACAGCTGGAAGCCGTCGCTAGTGACACGGACGAAACCGGGCGCCAACTCGGCGAAACTCGCCAGAACAGAACGTGACATTATTGCCTTTCCAGTGGCTTTGTTACCCTTAATCTCGGCAGTGGTCGGCGGCGATTGGCCTTATCTCGGCGCGGCGGCGGCCCGCTCTGTTGTCGAGTGTGCCGGGCGGTGTATTTATTTATCCAGGCGTCTCAGCGCGCGCCAGCAAACACGGCCGACCGCGGTAATTGGGAGTCTCGGATGGGGTGGCGGTCCGCGGCGGCGCCGGACGCACCTCTTGGCACGGGTCTGTCAGATGGGACCATGGTTTGCGCCGCGGCAGTGGAGCGGAACACAGCCTCACCGCTGGAGGACAGTGCGCAGTGAGTCGGCCGACGGCCCCGGCGGGGTGACGGACGCCGGGCACTCAGCGGTCGGCCGGCCGGACCGCCCGCCGTGCGACAGAGACCCACCGTCTGCGCCTCTCGGCTCCCCTCCTCTCCGCGCGCCGCCGCCAGACGCTTTGTGCCCGCGCCGAAATCATTTCCAGAAATCGTATGGTTTCTATCTTTTGAGCGGGCGGCGCAGCGCGCTCCTGAAAGGTGCCACTAATGATGACGTCTCGTACGCCCTTCGGCCGCGCGGCGCCGGCACAAAAAGGGGGCCGAGGGGGTACGGCCGACCGACCGGCTGTCCCACGCCGTTCAAAGGGATCATTCAGAGCCGGCGATCTTCCGTAATTGAGGGGAATCTTTTCAGCCGGCGCGCTCGACAGACCGTAAATCGTGTGTAACAGTTTTCCTGAAAACGCCACAATGTGGCTCGTAATGAGCCGAGCGGCGAGCCGCGCGGTTTACATATTTCGCCCATTATTGGCGAGCGGCGCGGCGCTGCGGAATTTTATGAAGTGGTAAAATTGTCACCTCCGCCACGCCGGAGGACGAGCGGGGTGAGCCGAGCGGCTATCTCATCAATGGACGCACATTGTACTCGGGTGTCTTTGTGTGAACGATCCCGGCCGACGCTGGGGCTTCTCGCTACCAGCGGTTTCCGGCGCCTACCTGGAGAGGTGTTCACGCGTTCGGCTGACCCATTCAGCTGCGCTCCGTTCGACCCAACTCAGGGTACGTCCCGTCAGGCGTAAAACATGGCCTGTATGTGAAAGTCTTAAAGCCTCAACTCACTACCAGGCGCAGCATGTTCTATTTGCCTGCAATCTGAAGATAAATTTAAGTACAGCATTAGTTGCGTGCAGAAGGTTGAGTTCCCTTTTTAGAGGGACTCTCCCTGTAGGGGAGAGTGGGGCAAAGCGGCCACCCTAACGTTTCTAACGATGCCGACGCTTGATTTTTAAACTTGGAAAGATTCTTTCTATACCAATGTGATCCCTATTAAATTGTCTTTTATTCCAACTGCGTTTCATTTCCAAAGGCGTTCACATATGGGAGATATTGACAAAACTTTAAACCTTTAGCATATTGGCCACTTTGCCCCATCCCTGAGGCAAAGCGGCCACTGGCGACTTCTCAAGTCCCGATATGAGAAACAGAATAGTTGCCTCATGCACGACTAGGGTATTTGATGGTGACAAGATTTAAGGGAAGATGGATGTTTACTTTGTTATCTTCCCACCTATTGCTAAACAAAGAAAGAATTTTCTTGAAAAAACATTTAATTGCATAATTTGGTAACTCATGTAACCGAAAAGTGGCCAAGATGAATGCATGACGACACATTTGAATATAAATAATGTTTTTATCCAGATGGAAACAACTTATGGCCAATTGGGGGCTGGCCACTTTGCCCCGGCCGCTTTGCCCCGCGCATACCGTCCGAGATAAAAATATTCCAGCTCAGCTATTAGTGGGGTAAAAAGCATTAAAATTGGTAGAAGGCATGTACGATAACCACGCAATGCATGGACAAAAACGCTTATAAAAATTCCAAACGGTTATGGAATAAAATAACATTTAAAAATTGTAAACATAATTGGTAACCTGGCAAGAAATGCTTTTCCGTGTTTCACAGAACAATGGCGATGGGCCTGAAACCCCGGTCTGGCTCATTCGAACGACCGCAAAGAGAAGTATAATTGGAAATCATAAATTGGAACTGACGCCAGCTGTGGAGGGCTAAAACGATGGATGGCCGCTTTGCCCCGGGTGGCCGCTTTGCCCCACTCTCCCCTACCCGGTATTGAGCTTCGTGGAATACGAGCCGGTTTCTACTCGGTTACTCATCCCTTACCAGGATGACCACCCACTTTGTCAGCGTAATCCGTTCACCTTCCATCTGCGCCGTCTCACCGCTCCTGAAGGTGCGTGCGGCAGGGAGAGGAGGGGCCGAGGCCGGGGCCGGGGTTCCGGTCGCCGCCACTGTCCTATTGTCACCTCAGCCGCCGGTGGTTGGCGTTTATGAGCGGTGAGCGCTGGACACCAAAGGCGCCCCTGTCAAAGGAGCCGACGCCGTCTCCCCCGGTCGAAGAAAGAGAGAGGAGGGAGGCGGTAACCTCAGTCGGTGATGGGTCATTATTGATGATGTGTCCAAGGAACTCTACCGCCGCGCACAGCCTCCCTCTGCGCGCTGCCGCCGCCGCCGCCGCTCGGTGCCGCGCGGTCGACTGGACGTCTATTTGGGGTTTGTCCGTCAGCGCGGTAGCCGCCACAAAACGTCCCTTTGAGGTGTGAGTAATGACGCCAGGGATGATTAAACGGTCTGCAACCACGTGCCGACGAGTCGGCGGCATCATTAGAGCGTCTGCGCTAACGAGAGGTGGCAGGCGGTCGGCCGTCCTCGCCGGCCTCCTCCCGTCTGTGAGGTCGACCCCTCGGACCGCGGTGACCGACAGGTGATGGCCGCAGGGGGCGGAGGTCAGGTCACCGCACACGGAGACGTCAAGACGGACAGACGGTGACGGATGGACGGAGGGTCAGAGACTCGAGATCGAGTCGATAAATGATGGAGAGTCAATACTCAGAGTTATGATCTGACGGATAAATCGGGAAGAGTCACGAGACTCGAGGTTATTGATGAACGGATGGTTCAGCGTTTGGAAAATATGCGGAATCAAAATATTTGAAGACATCGACAGATACCCTGCTTCCGCATGACGAGCACGCGAAAAATGGTGGATGGGGCATGTGCTAATCCTAGAACGCGGATGCCGCCATATGTAGTTGGTCAGCGGGGATCTACAGTCTACACTGTCAAACGCGTGAGAGCTGCAGTCCCGTTCTTCCATGGGCTCAGAAACGGTATAAAAACATCCATCTTCTTCCTTCTGGTGTCCCACAGCGCAGCCTATAATTCCTCTCAACAAAACGACGTTTCCCGGTGAACTACCGTGAGGAATTTCCAGTCTTCTCAGATCGGCTGGCGAGCAGTCTGCCTCCGCGCGCACAATACATCAGTAACGAACGGTCCTGCCTGGCCTTCTCCTCCCTCCCTCCCTCCCTCTCCTTCTCACTCCTCTCCCCTTCCCGCGGCGCCAGATGCTCCGACACACTATCTCTACACGATATCACTTTGAATGCCGTTTTATTATCCGTGTCGACACGAGGCGCGTCGATCCATCACTCGCCAGCTGGCGCAGATAGCTTATTAAACTGGCTGCCGCCGGCGAGCGGCGGCATCGGCCGCGCTCCCGAATCACCCGGCACTTTGTCGCCTGCCGACGATCGTCGACGCCGACGGCTGCGATCGTCGGCAGCGACGGCGTCCATCGGGGCCGACGGCGCTGATGGCTCCGATCGAGACGGATCCAGATATTTGATCGAGCCCCACCGGACCGGGTAGAGACGACAGAGCGGGGAGAGAGCAGAGAGAGCAGAGAGAGCAGAGACGAGTCGCTCGGAGGAGCGCCGTGAGGGCGGCCGCCGCTGCTGCCGACATGTTTATAAATTCATTTCTTTCATCGGCGACGTGTCATCGTCAGGCGCGCGGCCGGCCGGGCGGCGCGGCGCTATTCCGCCGCCAGTGATTAGCTGCAGTGGGGGTCGGACGCTCGGCCGGCGGCCCGGGACGGGGCGGCCCCGGCACGCTGCTCTGACAGTCGGGGAAACACATGCCAGAGCTCTGTCGATCCGCCGAGCTCTGCCGAGCAGCAGTGTACCACAAGACTCTTCAGGAGGGTCTGTTCAGGGGTCTGTTATAAGGCACACTGCTCTCCGCCGCTACCAGCTTTTGGCGCCCGGAGCAAATAACTTATGCGATTTTGTTTTGTTCATGTTTCGATGGAAATCGAGCACCAATGGCCGGTAGCGGCGGGTAGCGGTATGTCGTGAAGCGGATTCCAGGTGGGCTCTCTGTACTCCTTGGTCGTCTGGGGGCTCAGTCCAGCAGTCTGATGACTCAACTCAGCAGTCTGAGGACTCAGGTGGGCTCGCTGTCCTCCCCATGCCATCTGTGACTCACCTCCCACGCGAACTGTTCGTGGACCGGCTGTGTGGTCCAGTTGCCGAGGAAGGGTCCGAAGCGGCGGCCGGCCTCCACCCTCAGCCGGGTCCAGACGCCCTGTCCACCGCCGGTCTGGCCACTGGCGCGCACCTCCAGCTCGGCTGGGATCGAGGTCATGGCCAGGTGCAGCTGGTGCAGGTAGCGAGCCGGCGCCGGTACCTGTGCCAGGTCACAGGTCACAGGTCAGCCGGGTCGCGGCAGGCCCCACAGAGATTATCACAGACCTCGTCGCTTCATGCACCATCACGACAGACAACTGGTGGTAGATGAGGCCTGAATCAGCGCTTCCGACCCCATTTACAGTTGGATAACAGATCAAATGCAGGCTACAGTTCGTTCCTAGAACATCATGAACCCCCACCCACCGCCCCCTCTGACATACCAGTGTCCGTCAGTGCGGTCACCCCCGTGACATCAGCTCGGCATTGTTTTCATTTCACCGTGCCGGCGGGGGGCGGGGCAGGTGGATCGGGTAGCCAGCTAACATGTCATGTGACACGAGCAGGTGCACAAGTGGTGACCGAGTCTCCGCCGGAGAGTGAGGTCGCATATATTACATATACATGATGATGTGAGAGGAGGTCGAGACTCGAGAGGACAGAGAGGGCGCCGACTGCCGGGCTGGGATGTAGAAGCTGGGTGCCTAAGAGGTTAGATATATGTAGATGGTGGATAGATAGGTACCGGGACTGTGTGAACACTGAGATCAGGCATAGATTTGGATAGATGTCGGGAGATGGGAGGTGGGAACAGTCCAGTATCCATGAGTTTTGAGCTAAAAAGCAGGAGATTGCAGTTGGGGGTTCAAGGTAGGAGTGGTTGCGGGATATGTAGATGGCTGAGGTGAATGAACCAAACCGCCCAGAGTTGGTTAACGCTAGTAACTAGTTTTCTGGAATCGCGACTATTTATAGGTATCGAATGCCGTTGGCGTTGCTACCAGTTCCTGGATATATGTCAATGGGTTGATTGTCAAATGAGCTAATGGATTATTTTTACAGTCGTATAAACCCATCTTGCGGTAGGCATTTGATTGGATTCACTTCTTACGCGTTCCAATATCCTGGTATTATATGAGGGGGCGATTACCAAGCAACGCCACTTAATATTCCGCAACATCCAGGGTCGACCTAGCTATGCAGGAGTCTTTGTGCAGCGAGTCCCGACAAACTCCCGATAAACTCCCGGCATACTCCCTACAAACACCCGGAAAACTCCAGAAAAACTCCAAACTTCCTCCCGAAACCCAGTGTCACTCACCGATCCGTTGGTGCGGGAGATCTCGCGGCCATCCTCCTCCTCCGTGGAATGGTAGTTGTCGGTGGTGGCCTCAGAGAGGTCGGTCAGGTCACACGAGTCGTCCCCTGTCCCTCGGCCGTCGGCAGCTGAAAGAGACGGGGTGCCAGGTCAGGTCACGGGCATTGAGATACTGAGGTATACAGCGGCCGGTCAGGTCACAGAGCCTAGGAATACCGGGTCAAAGGGCGCTAGTTAGGTCAGAGGATCCCAGGAATATGTTTTGTCATTATTCATATCAATACGTCAACGGTTAAAAGGATGCTATAGTTCCATTTTGCAATGCTGCTTACGCTTAGGCATTGATAAGGGCAATTTGTATGCTCCTAAACATATTTCACTCGCCGCTTATTAAATGGGCCAAATAGGTCATAAACAAATGAGTCGTCATTGTTTTACATCGTTGATGCGGTCACATCACTATGAATGCCTCCTTTGCCGATACAGAAGTCCGCTCCAATCAGTCTCCACGCCCATGCTACCATTAAAACAGGCTGCGAGGCTCCTTTAATAACCGGTTCAGCTGCGACCCTGCCATCCCCTCCGCCCTGCCGTGCAATCGCCGCCCCGCCGACACTCGCAGTCAATTGCCAAATGACCAATCGTTCCGGAATTAAACGACGCTCGCCGCTCGGTTTGATTCATTGAGTCCGTTCCGGCGGCGCAGTGGGGCCGGGTCGGCCGTGTTTGTGCGCGCCGAGCTCCGGACCGGGCGGGCCGTCAGCGCGGCCCGCCGGTCCACCGTGCAGTGTGTTCGGTCACCGCGCCTGTCTAACCCCATCAACAATGCATGCGCTCAATTGTCACTCGTGAGGCCTATTGCCACCGGCGGCCGGCCCAACGGCGCTCCGCTCATATTACTGATAATGAAACAGCCCGATGGGCCCCGGCGACGAATATTGATGGCCGCATTGGCCGCTGCTCAAAACGCGCACCTTTGCAATATTGATGCGAGTTTTTTCGCCGGTGGCTTGGCTCATCATCGAAATGTGACTGCATTATTGGAGGTATTGACTGCAAGTCGCGGCTGGTGACCGCCACAATAGGTCGCCGTCGCTCGCTGCGCGCGAAGGGGTTCGAGGCGCTGTCGGAGTCGACAGTCCCCGACCGTAGCCGGAGGAGGGGGTGGGGATGTCAGCCCCGTGTCAGCCGGCCTGACACGGAGGGAGCGTGACACTCTGTTGACACAGGGTCGGTAATCGCGGCGCGTGTGCCTCGCTGCCCGCTCCTCGCCACTAATTGCTCAGCACTGTAATACAGCGTCGTCACGCGGCAACGTCGACGGCGGCGCACCCCAGATTTACCGCGCCACTTGTGTCGCACGCGCGCCACTGCTCGCCACACTGCCGCGCCATGTTTGGCGCAGTGCGCCGATTTGTCAGCAGCGCGTGATTTAATGTCGTAAGCCTGTGATTAACAGAGATCATATGTTCAATTAATTTGCGAGGAAGGGGAAAGAGGCCAGAAACGGGGACGATAACTCTGGCGGGAGCATTAGGGCTGGAACGGGCCCTCCTCTGCGCACCGCGCTTGGATTAAAGTATGATCCGCCGAGGGACAATATTCTTCTTTAATAAGCAGCACCTATCCTGAGGCGCGGTAATTATTGGATGTAAAACTGTGCTGCGGTTAATTGGTGGTGATCATTGACAGCAGTAAGCGGTCATTTCGAGCGTAACTGGCAGATGGTGGTCCGCTGTCCGACACTAAATCAGAAGCCGATTGGGTCTATGATGCAGACCGGCCTCGCTGACCAACCGACCAATAACTGGAGCAACGCGGGACCGAGGGGCGACTTCCGACCGTGGCCTGGAGCCGTCATCGAACCCTCCAGGGTACATACATGGTGGGTCACGTCAGATGTGGAACTCGATCGATGACGTGGGGATCGGTGTCGGAATAGATCAGCACACGAGCCGACGTAATCGCCAGGTATCCAGTATCCTGTGGATAATTTGGAGACGAAATAATAATATGATGAGTTTCTCGAGGCACAGCGTGACTGATGGACCGGTGTTCAAACAGAGCTTAACGGATATCTGCGAAAACCGGATGACACAAAAGCGACAGATTAGCGGAAACGTGCTGGAAAGTCAGCTGAGAGATTTGTCTACGTTCAACACGGGACTATCAGGTGGTGAAAGCGTGTCAAACAAACGATTGCTGTAGAATCAAGATAACGCTGATTATGATGCAACGTTCAAGTCTATGCGGGTCTGATGCAGTGAAAAATAGCCTCTCATGTTGATATGTTTATAGCCAGACCGTAGGCGATATAAGCTATTGCTGTTTTTTTTAACGAGTTTGAAATTTTTAACCGAATTGTAGACCCTGGGTGATTGGACTAACATTAAAAAGAAATGTGCCCTCTATTCGTCAAATTCTCGTGCAGAGGCCTCTTGCACCAAACTACCTAGCTAGGTAAAATCGAAAAACCGGTTTCAGGATAAGCTAATTTAACGGTGGTAAATTTGTTTGCAATAGCCCAATACATAATCTTACATGTGCTTGCTAAATTTTGCACGCAAATTGTTACATTTGAGACTTGGACTGGGTATACGATGCAAAATATTCCAAGCATTGGTGCAAGAGGATTTTGGTGCAAGAGGCCTCAGCGCTCACAAAGCATAGACTGCAATATTCATCTTACCATTAATATTTCGTGTTTCCTATCTTTCTCCTTCAGCCTTCTTAGCTCCTTTCTCCCCAGCCCTCTTCCTCCTTCCCTAGACCTGCATCGTTGCCGGCTTTTCGTCGGACAATAGAACACAGTTGGCCGAATCACTGCCACGACGCGCCCGCCGCCACCCGTCTGCAAACCTCATTACCTGCTCCAGATACGCCCCGCGGGCATGCACCAAAGACATTGTCCTCGGCTGCCGGCCGTCACGCGGAGTCGTTACTTACACGAGCTGGGCCCTGCGGCCGGCGCCGCGACCCGTGTCACGTGCCCTCGGCCCATCAGCCATTAGGAATCCCTACCGGCGGACGGCGCGCCGGCCGCGTGCCCGCATGTAATCCCTGCCGGCCACGGAAAGGAGGCTCGCGCCTAACGAGCCGGGGCGAGCAGGTTGAGCGGCGAATTGTCACGTCAGGTACCGACTAACGGCAGCGGCCATGGGTCGGACGCGTGTCCATTTGTTTGTGTTACCGGGACGGGGCGACGGGCCCGGCGGCCGGCGGGGAGGGGCCGTGGCTGCATGCGGCGAGGCCTTGAATTTGAACGGCACACGCTAAAAGTTGCGTGTCTGACTTACTTTGGTATACCCATAGTTTTATCTAATTGCTTGTTCATTACAGTACAATTTCATTACAATGAAAATAAGCCATAGGACGAAGGCTCAAACATGCAGGTAACTCAGTTTCAAGTCGAAAGTCTTGAAACACCTCATACCTGGTCAATTGGTCATTTTGCGAACAACTCCGACTCATGGGGATGTCCTGCACCTGAGTGACGTCACAGCCACCGTCGAGACGTGCTCTCCAGTACAGTCGACCTCTTCTCGGAGCTCGGCGACACCGCGTCTGAGCCGACCGGCGCCAACAATGGGAGCGCCCCGTCTGGTGGACCCTCTGAGTCACGGCAGACGCGCCGCCGCGGGCCGTGAGCGTGCATCCTCGGCGGGCAGCGCGGCTCGGTTTGGCAACAATCTGTGACGGAGGTGCGCAGCGTTCCCAGACACGTCAGGACGCCAGGTGCTGTGTTTCTCTAGTCACAGTCACACCCGAGTCATTTGAATGTATAGCGCGGGCCTTACCCGGGATCTTTTCAGACAACTGGGGCTTTTTTGCCAGTCTGAGTCAACCTGAGTCCCTATACCTGAAATTTTGAGCGAGCTCACTTTAGTTTAGTTGCTCTGCTGTCCACGATGGACACGGCTAGGCTGGGTCATCCCGAGCCAACCATGGCCATCGAGCCTTCATAACGTTAGGTTCCTTGGATCACCCTCAGATAATAGGACAGTGTCAGGTCAGCATTCGGAGAAAAGCCGATTATTCGCTTCAGTACGATCGCGTGACGCCAGTCCAAAGAAAGCGAAGAAAGATGGACAGATGTGAATCAATGATTCTGTCGGATTATCGCTGGTCGCTACGCCAGCTATCCCACGTAGACCGTTAGAAGCCTGGGCGTATCGGTCGAGTGTTTTGTCTTCTCAGCGCGTCGGATGGGTGGGCTGCGATTTTGGTCAGCGTTTGCATACGTCAGTCGGCGGGTACACAGTCGGGCCATAAATATCCTCCTCATACCTGACGGAGGCCGTTCCCAGGCTGTCTGTGGCCGCGGCTCTCTCGGGAGGCCAGGAGAGAGGGAGGGGAGGCAGCTCAGAGCTGTGTGTGAACCCGGCGCCCCTGAGCCGACCGGCAGTTCGCTGTTTGGTCGACCACTGCTGTCCGGAGGCCGGGGCTGCAGTCGCTGGGTCTGTGAGTCTAATGCGCCGGACCGAGCTGACGCTTTGATCTCAGCTACCGGCATTACGCTGAGCAAACCGTCCACACCGAGCCATGTTTGGTGGTCCGACCGGCCCGGCGGCGCACCGGGTCCCGCACCGCCGAAATAGATAGCTTATCCGGGACTCCTACAACACAGCGGAGCCGCTTAATCCAGCCGGGCGGCGCTGACGCCGTGTCAGCTGCCGTGATAGATCCGCCGAATTTTGGCACTCTGGGAACGAACGCTGTGAGGACAAACAGAAGCGGCGGCAGCGGGCGGACGGGCGCGGAGGTGCCCGCCCGACCGGAATGTCGCAGCGGCGTGCGAACTCGGCCGGCGAGGCTAGAGTAGGCGAGATTGCACCGGCGCGACTGAGTCAGGGCGTGACTCGCCGACTGACTCGGGCAGACGGCACGGCGCTCTGAGTCAGACAGGTGGTCAGGTCCGGTCACGGGCTGGGATGTGACCAGTAATGAGATCAGAACACATCTCCGATACGGCACGAAGTCCTGGGAAGCTGGGGGAGCCGCGAGCGAAACAATGTGCGGATGTTACTGAACACGATCCATGGGCATCATCGATGAGATGTGTCCGACACGTCAGCATTTATCTCACTCAGTCTACCTTCTCACCTTCGTGGTACATACACGTTATGGC